AAGAGAAAATATTACCCTAACCATTGTAACAAAAACAATATTTTAAGGTTTATATATATATATATATAGGGTAGTCAACAAATAAATTACAAATGGCTGCAGAAACAGAAATGCTTGAAATAATTCTCCAGTAAGCAGCTTTATTTTTTCCCCGAGATCCCTCACCTACATTGAAATTCTTATTATCTCGTTGACGTATGAAGGCCCTAATAACTCCCACGTTCAAGTCTACAGGTTGTTGTCCACAATCACACGAACCTCTTCAGCATCTGCTAAGCAAGAAGTCTATTTGTGATTACAGTAGAGATCCTATGTTCCAAAGTTAGTTTTTATTATGACACAGAATATAAATATGGAGAAGAAATTTTGTTTCTCACTTTCCATGAAAAAAAGTACTCAGGAAACAGCAGAAAAGATTCTTCCTAATGCTGTTATCACATCTATAGACGCGCGCGCTTACCCGGGACAATTCCGAGAAACGAGATTCTAGTAGTACGGCTTTAAGCGGCAGGCTTACGAGAAATGTTTCGTCTAGCTAGGAGGAACGTGTCCCGGCTACGAGCAACATTTTAAAACTTTTCCCAAAATGTTCCGGCTGGAGACGTGTTCCTCGAACGTTCAACCAATCAGACGAAAGGTCAGCTTCTGAAGGATCACGGGTAACTTTCAATATGGCGATGGCTCTCACTGTGAAGTGATGGACGGTGGAAATAGAGGCCGATTTAATTATTGCTGTTTTGTTGTAATATAACTGCCTGAGTCATTTTTTAAATGTGTATATATTCATTAAATATATAATCGTGGAAATTTCAGAGTTGACAGTATTTTACGACGTTCTTGCATTTCGGATTTGTTTACAAATTGTTCGTAGCCAAAAGTTCGCCAAATTTGCCGTATTTCGTGCTGATCGTGTATTATAACACTGTTATATAATAGAATTTTATTTCTTAAATTTGAATAATTTTTTAAAATCCGTTTGTATATGCGCGGAACTGCATAATCAGTGACACATTTTAAAAACAGCATAAAAGATGCATAAAAAGAAAAGCAGTAGCTTATGTAATAATGAGAATACTCATTAAATTTGTCTATTATTTTTTCATGTTATTATGAAATACTTTTTGAATTATAAATACATTAGAAACTATACTTTTATTGTAAATGCTACATATTGAAAACATTGAAAATTTATGGATTTATTATTATGCATGATGAAAAACATTTGTATATACATTCATTAATATAAATCTTATTCATTACATTAAACTAATAAATATATATTAACAACTTCTAAAACATTGCATCTCTCTATCTGTATGTAAATATATGACTTATTAGATGTGTATATGTATATATATGTATGTATGAATACAAAAATGAACATTGCCAAGAAGTTTATTTGAAGTTACTTTTAATTCAGATAACGATTATGTAATTGGCAGCAACTATAGTTATCAGTTCTTTGCAAATTATTATGGGTATGTAATAATCAGTTGAAAAATAATTGATGAGTATTTGAGTACTAAAGAGTGTACACATTTTGTTATTGGGTTAATTCATAATTATATCATACGTATGATCTACGTAATAAAACATCACTAATAATAATAAGACTGTAACAGCTGTGCATTTATAACATTTGATTACTTAAAAAACAGCGCCCCAACTGATTTATCACCTTCATGTCTGTTTACATAAATGAATTGTACTTTCCAATTGAAGTGCACGGGCCTACTAGTGGCCGAAGCGTCGGTTGAACACTGGTAGTTCTGTCTCAGGTTAGAATGCCGGGAACGGGCTGGCTACATGGGACGTTTTCCTTGGTTCGCCCCATTTGTAACTGGTATATACGACGCCAGTTTTAAAAATCTTCTACAAAGGGATCCCTCCTGTTGTTATCCCTAGAGGCTTTGCGGTAATCACATAAAACCAACTGAGCCCACCAGCGGCCGAGCGGTAAAGTCGCTGAACACTGGTATTCGGTCCGAGGTTCGAATCCCGCGAACGGGCTGGCTGCATGGACGCGTCTACGTGGTTTTCCCCATGTGTAACGTGTATACGAGCCAGTTTTCCCTTATAAAGTCCTCCACGAAGGCATCCCTTCCCTTAGGCAGATAGCCCTAGTGTGCTTTGCTGTAATCTCAATAAACCAAACCATAAAACAAACTCATGATGTGAACACCTAATTTCTAGAGTTGGTATAATTAATGTGTTTTAGGTATATTACCGATGTTCTATTGGACAGTAAACACTCGCACATGTTTGATTGCTCATGTATTCATATTGCTTTATTTGATCTTCATTTTGCTGAATAGTATCTGTTGGCTGTGAGGATGTAAATATCAGCCATATAGATTTTTTTTGTCATAGAAGGTTTTTTTTTTTTTTTTTGTCTGTTTGTTTGAATGATGGACAAAACAGTAATTATGAGCCATAAAGTTAGTCAAGAACATGCTTTCACCAGGTCACAATTTTCCAGTGAGCCATCAAATTTTCATTGGAACGGCAGACAACAGAAAATACACATAAGTAATGTCTGATAAATAGACTTATCCTAGCACATGTTTTTAAACTATTCTTAGGCATATACAGAATTTGGCTATTACTGATGTAATTGATTGCTATAACCAGAAGTGTGTTTATCTGTTACATGAAGTGCCAGAGTGGAGATCAAAGTGATTAACTTGATAGCAATCACCTTTCTATTATCTTCTATTACTAACAATAAGTTTAAAAACGAAAAGCGTGTGGAGCGATACAAAACAACACGAAGAAGCGAATTTCACTTGAAAGGAAACGTCCTTTCGCCAATCTGAGCGATAACTGATTCTTGTTTGGCTTTCAGCTTGTTTGCCAAGTGAAGATGGTAACCCTATTTCGCCAAAGGCCGTTTCTCAGAACTGTTGCTACAAACGTTTTGTCCCGGCAACAAACAGCTAATGTGATAACGGCTTAAGGAGTAAAGCATTTACGGATTGGTTTGAGAAGGGTAGATTTTTTTTCTCTGTAGAAAAATCTTTAAGCGTATTAGAAGACATCATACAAGTAATTTTATAATTTAGTAATTATTCAATAATTTAATTTCGCTCAAAGGCATTCCACAAAATGGTACACTTTTGAGACTAAGGGCCCACCAGCGGCCGAGCGGTAAAGACGCTGAACACTGGTAGTTCGGTCTGAGGTTCGAATCCCGCGAACGGGCTGGCTGCATGGGCGTTTTCGTGGTTTTCCCCATGTGTAACGTGTATACGAGCCAGTTTCCCTTAGAAAGTCCTCCACGAAAGGCATCCCTCCCTTTAGGCAGATAGCCCTCGTGTGATTTGCCATAATTAAATACACCACCACACCACCTTTTGAGACTAAGACTTGCACTGAAGAGTTTTATTTCGAACTATTGATCCAAAATAAAAGTCTGGCAATTCTACCTTTCATTTGCAACAAATGTAAAATTATTCATAGTCCAAATTTTAGTACTTTTTTTTTTGGCGGGTGTTGGTGGGGCACTTTGAAGTATGAGAAAAATAGCAATGTTAACATTGTTTTTAAGAAATGTTTCAAAACGCTGAACAAAGTTAAATTCATGGGATGAATGGTTATAACAACAAAGTTAAATTCATGGGATGAATGGTTATAACAACAAACAAAATTGAATAAGTTTGTAAGGATTATGTTAATTTTATTAACAGTTAAATTTTGAGTTAAACTTCCTTTCCTATCTCTTCTTAATTTCAACTTACCACTTCCGGCCAGAACGTAGTTTTAGAATCACGTCTGAATGCTAATGAGGGAGAGCGGTATTTAACCGCGCAGTTCTACTGTCTTAGTGAGAGAGATAAAAGATATTCTGGCTAACACGCGCCCGCTTTTTTAGGCTGCTCTCTCGTAAGCTATTATTACCCTAGGCCGTACTTTAGGTCCTTGATAGCTTTGCAGTCAATTAGCGTTAAGGGGCCAACTCTGTTAGAATTTCGATAGCTTCAGCTATATCTTTTTAGTTAAGATGAATTTACTTTACTTCTTAGTCTCTTAAGTCGAAGCCCGAGTGTTGGCTTTATTGTACAACTCCAAGACGGAGTTCTGTTAAATCTTATTTGAATAATAAAGGGTCTTTTAACACTTTAAAAGTTTATTTACGGTCTCACGAACTCAAGCGAACATTCGCTTACTAGTTCTTAAGATTCTTCACATCCAACTGAGAATTACACAGTGGAGAATCCTACAAGTTTTTAAAGCTTTAAATACACTTATCACGTAGAAGCCCTTTATGACTATTATTTTGTCTAGTTTTGATGTACTGTTACAAAAGTATTCATAACTGGGAAAAATTGTCAGATTTTGACACAGAGACACGAAGCGAATCAATATTACTGGCAAAATGTCACCTATCTACTGATTGGATGCAGGAATACATAAATTAGATCTGGTGGAGGGGAAAAGGCTATATCTGATAAAATGATATAAATTAGAGTACCTTTACTATAGTCTGACCGCCTCATCCGCGACCATGAGCGCAAACACGCATGCGCCATTCGGACCGAATTATTCTCAAAATAGGGTGGAAGGACGAGGACTTTCTTTCCCTCCAGCATAGCTCTTTCCGGAGAAGAAAAGACCTTTCACCTCGCAGCAAGGACGCCCCTTTTGGACGAGTCTATGTGTTGGCAGAATGCCAACCAGGGTTGCGCTTGAGACGGTCGAACTATAATAGGAAGAGGAAGTATTCATTTAGTCATTCGCAAAGTAGGGATATCATGTGGCTTTGTAATATAAAGCAATGCTAACTAAGCAAAATTGGGTCTTCAAGTCCCTTGTGTTTCTCTTACTATTAGTTAATGTAACTGATATAAATTTAAAAGATTTTATGTACAAAATCTTGCGATGAATCGAAACTTGCAAATACGAGGAAAGCAGAAACAAACTTGTCAACCACCGTAAAATGATTTTATACCTTTTACATAATATTTGTATGCATAACGCATTTTGGGCTTAAATTCTTATAGGTATCAATTTGTTCTCCAGTTGAAGCAAGACATTTTGCAAGGCAGGTTACCCGTTTCGGAAGAACTGGCTGCTGAGCTTTTTGCACTGTCTTTGCAAGGTAAGGCTCGACTTACTAAGCAATATTCTAGTTTTGTTGTGGAACTTTATCATTTTATATGTAATAATATTAAGGTTATTTAATAAAAGCAATGATAATCCTTGCTGTTATTAAAATTATATCATACGTTTCTATAGAATTAAGTAATACGTTACAGTTCTTTTACAATATTAATTTTCTTTCATCTTCCCTCCCCTTTTTTAAATATTTAATATCATTTATTGATTCAAGCGTTTCATCTGAAATCAGATCATAAATTTTTAGATGAAATATTAATACAACCTATTCTAAAAAGATGGTTTTTAGATTTATTTCTTTGAAATTGACCATAAAAATGTACTCAATCGCGTAGTTTCTTAAAATAAGCCAAGCGGCATTACGAAAATCTTTTCAACTGTGGGCGCGGTAAAATCCTATAATAAAATCTAAATTTACATAGATTTGAGTACATTTGTATAAATATTCTAATTAGCGATGAATTTATTACTTTTTAATGCATAAAAACAAAAGGTCAACCTTATATGGAAAATTTCACTGAAATATTCAAGAACGAAAATTTAGTTATTGGTTTCTTTTCCATTGATACTAACGTAATTAATGACTTCTGAGAACATATACAGGAGTCAGCTACAAAACAAAGATTGTTCATTTTCCAATGATGGCTCTTGAGGAAAACAGCATCTGCTATTAAATATGCAGTATGCAGCTCTCCATTTGAAAATATTTATTAAGTACATCTTTCTAACATTGTGCATAAAAATATTCCTTATGTTTTTAATTCATTAAAATGTGTATATATTATTTGTTTAAATTCATTCAGAAACCCTTATAGAAACAGATTTTACTTTTTCAGAAGTTTCCAATCCACAGTCAATCTTATTTCATGATTGCAACTGGATTATTTAAGATTAGAATTTAAGGAAATAAAGCCATCTGTGTAATGAAATATAAATAACGATTCTTTCATATTTTATTCATTGTTATTTCATATATTTTATCTAGTATTATTTCACCGTCTTTGATCTATACCAGTTAAATTTTGTAAGATTATTAATCTTCATTTTATCTTGTTTGTGTATTCGACATATATCACCATTTTGAACGAGTTTGGAAAGGTGCAGAATACATTTTAGGCTATAAGTCTCTACACCGTCAAGCTAAAAATCTAACTCTGTGCAAATTTAACATCATAAGTATTAGTTTATAATCATTTTTACACCGTTAATGAGCTAATATTTTTCAAGAGAAGACTCTAGTTTAAATTTGTGTTTTTATAAATTAACTTTCTGCAACTAGTCCTAAACTTAATTGGTTGGAATATGCAATGCAATCTTAATTTTAATTAAGTTTATGACATCATTTTAATGCATATAATTTAACTTTAGTTTAAAGTCATTAACCACGCATTGAGAAATATATGCATATAAATAAAATTAGGTTACAGAGAGTTTTTATCATATTTTCTTACAGATAAACTTTTTAATATAATGTTTGTTCATCCAAAGCAGAGTCCAAAACAAAATATAAGGTCCACTTAATGTTGCCCTGATTAAAGTTAATTTAATGTAATGCATATTTCCCTTTGCGCTAATTATTAAAAAGCACTAAATTTATAACTGATCAGGCTGAATTTTAAGATATGTTATTTCCATCACAAATATTAAGAACTTATTAACAAAAACTCTTCAGTAAAAGTTTCCAAATGGAGATAATAGCTCAAAACCTGGGAGGTGACCCACATTCTGACAGCAGTTGGAACGTAAGATCAGGCGTTATAGATGTATCCGGTTACTAATGGTTGCTTCATGAACGAAAGTGAAATCAATCATCATTAATAAAATCAAGGAATCCAGAAGATCGAGAACTTTTGACTACAAAAATGTAAGATATATGTTCTGAGGTGTATTTTCTTTTTCTTTAAACTTCTTTGATTTTTTTAATTGGGGTATTGCTTGTTTGAAGAGTTTTGATTTTAACATTTATTAAATTCTTTATTGAATTTATAGGATTTATTAAAATTTATTACTTATGAATTTCAATTTTTGGTCTTTGTGAAAAAATTGGTTCTAGATTTCTTACTATTTTACTAGTTAGTATCAAAATTTTAACAGACGTTTTCACTCACATAAGAACTTCGCAACAAACCTCCCTCCAACATTCCTATTCCCTCCCACGTCCCAAAAATAGCTTCTTAAAAGTTTCTATAATGTAATAATTCAAAGTATCCCCACTGCCTATAACGGAATTTCGGACACACACAACCGTTCTGAGTAAGACACAGAAGAGAACACTTTACCAACATCCCACTAGAAAGAACGTAAGTTAATTAATGCATTTTCTGGCCTTTTATACTTTCATGTACATTTCACATTTTACTTTCTTATTCTATATAATTCAAGTTTTCAATTTTTTATTTGATTTGTTTTTGCAAACATAACATAGTTATGTTTCTTATGTTTCTCATGGTTCTTTTTTTTTTTTTTTTTTTTTTTTCCTTTGAGAACATACAGACTCCCCGTGCACCACATATGTACAACACGGGGCTTACAGAAGTAAGTTAACTAGAACATTAAAGGTTACATGTATAAATAAATATTAAAAATTACATGCATAAATAAAGCGAACAAAAGCAGAGAACAGCAGTCTGGACTTCACGAAAACAGATAAGTTCACTGGCCAAGTCACTCCGAACATTTTCAAATCGTTTCTGTAAGCATAATCTAGGGCCATCAAATGTAGGGCACGAAAAATCAAATGTTTTCCACATCCTGAGGAACTCTTTTTGAACATTCACATAAATTGTTTGATCGTAGATTAAAACGAAACAGATAACTTGCAAATTTACCGTGACCAGATAAAAACTGAGACACTTTAAAATTTAACGAGAGGAAAGACTCGGAATTCAGTCTATGGTAAATAGAAGGAAGGAACTTTTTGGTGACTTCCGCATTACAAGATGAAATGTATTCCTCATTCCACACAGCTAAAAGCTTTTTATAATGAAAGGACTTCCAATAACTCTTTGGAATGCTAATGTTGATATCAATGGGTAAATTTAAGGCATCTTTAGCTAAGAAATCAGCTCTTTCATTTCCGTAGAAACCATGATGAGCACGCAAAGCAGATATCAATACCTCTAATTCTAAGTGAACTAACAGTTACTAGGGTTTCGATAACTAATTTATCGCAGCTGGTAATACTGTTCAAAAGTTGAAGAGAAGAAAGAGAATCAGAACAAATAAGGTACTTTGAGGATGTTGTCCCATGATCCTGGATCCATTTGACGGCAAGATAAATGCACAGAAGTTCTGCTTGAAAAACTGTACATTCATTCCGTATACGGTGTCTAAGAAAACAAATCTCGGAATGGCCTTCAAAAAGAACAAATGCAAGGCCAAACTTGTTGTTCATCTTGCTGCCATCTGTAAAGAAAACCATATGAAAATTTATTTCAGCAGTCTCTTTGTAATCGCAGAAATTTATGGGTTCTAAAGAAGCGGGATGAGGAAGATCAGTGAAGGGGACAATTCCATTAATACAGTCTTCCGAAGCATGAGTTGCCAATGACTCAAAAATATTATTCTTATATGCAATTTCAAAATCAATAGGCGGAACTCCTGCAAGAACAAAAGTAGCCTCATAGCTTAAGGTTCTATAACCACTAATAATACGAAGAAGAATTCTCCGTTGAATCTTTCTTAAATTTCTTTTGTTAACCTTCTTGGCAGAAACATGTCCCCAAGCACGACAGCCGTACGAAATGAAAGGTACAATACACTGCTTATACATGAGTTTCTTAACATCGTAGCTTACTCCAAAAGTATTTTTGGCAATTCGGTGAAAGCCATTAATAATTTTTTCACATTTAGCAGAAAGGAATTCAATGTGCTTTTTCCATGTTAATTTTTGGTCAAGAATGACACCAAGATATTTAACATTTTCTACAAATTCCAACGGAGAATTATCGAGCATCAAAGAAGCAATATTTTGTTCATCAAACGTACTGGGAACAAGCATAACTTGACTTTTTGAAGGATTGAAAGTGAGTTTATGAGAAATCGCCCAACTGGAGACAAAATCTAGAACTTCTTGTGCTCTCAAAAGAATGTTATTCAAAATCCTTCCTTGGAAAATTAATAGTAAGTCGTCTGCAAACGCAATTTTTAAACAACCGTCGAGATGACTTAAAAGATCATTTATGATTATGTTCCAAAGAGTAGGTCCGGATACAGAGCCTTGAGGACAGCCTTTTTTCTAGAGAATAAATCTTAGCTTCGTTCCCAAGCTGAAGCTCAGCAGTCCTCTCGTTCAAGAAGCTTTTAAGAAGGTTATAGATATTATGTGGTATACCAGCATCTTTTAAAATTTTTAAGATAGATGGCCACCAAGCATTATCAAAAGCTCCTTTGAAATCCAGGAAAATAAGAAGTGTAGTATACTTCATTTTCTTTGCACACTGCAAGATATTACAAAGGCGAATAATGGCGTCTTCAGCGGACTTCCGAGGAGTAAATCCGAACTGAGAATCATTATAAAAGCATTTTTGTCTCAGATACCAATTTATTCTGTTAATGAAGAGAGTTTCAAGACATTTTCCCAAAGTAGGCAAAAGACTAATGCATCTAATATTATCAAGATAAGGGAATTCTTGTATCTAAACGTTTTAGGAATCAAAACAAACCCGAGCTCTCTTCCATTGTGCTGGAAAAACTGCTAATTGTAAACAAAGGTTGAAGAAGTCTGTGTACAAATGCGCTATCCACCGCATGAAAGTGCTGTATCAATTTCAGTAGAAAGAGAGTCAAGCCCAGGTGATTTGTTCTTTCTTGAGATTTTTAATAACACTCTTAACTTCTGAAGTAGAGAACGGATAGTCCATAAAAGAAATATAAGGTCCATCGGCCTCAGTGCGCATAGTTCTATAAGAATTTCTATCATCACACCGCATTATCTCTTGGAATTCTTTGTCATTATAGCAACAATTGTATCACTCAAACTCGAAGTAACACTGCCATCCGGGAGTTTAAATTCCCGAAATCTCAATCCTTTTCGCAAAATTGGTCTTGACCCCATACTTATATATAGATTTCCAGACATTGTGAACAGTAATAGTTGATAGAAAATTCTTTCTCACGACTCAAGCTTAGCATTAGCTAATTTAGCCTTGTACTATGCCGCAATTCGAAATATTTAATTTTATAAATATTTTTAAGAAGACAGTTTCTTTTTCTCTCTGGAATCTACGCCTAGCAGCATTTACTGCTTTCTATAACTATCAATTTCCTTAGACCACCAAGGGACCCCATTCTTCTTACCTTTCTTCATCGGAATTGAAAGTAAAGCACAATTAAAACAACGGTAGAAAGTCTGTTTACAACATTTTCTAATGCAATACAATCAGAGCAACTGTTAAGAAGGATATTCAAGTTACACAATTCTCTCTTACAAAGTTCAGTAAATAAAAACCAGTTCGCTCTTTTTAAATTAAAAGTACACAAATTAGAAGATATATCGGACGGCATAAAACAAGTTCAAAGATAATCATTTTATGGTCAGAAAGAGAATCTGCCTCAGAGATATCCCAACCTTGAACGTATGGCAGCAGTCCAAAGCTACAAAGCGTAAGGTCAATATAAGTCGAGCCTTGCGTGGAACAGAAAGTAGGTCCGCGAATTTTCATTAAGTATAAACAAATAATTCGCACTAAATAAAATCGCCAAGCTTCGCTTCCCTCTAGTATCAGTAATAGGACTATGCCAAATCGCTGATTTGCTATTCGAATCCATACCACTAAAAAATGCTATGGATTGTATGGGTTCTTAATCGTTAAAATTTGTGAAATATTTAATAATTCTATATCAATATTAGTTTGGGGCTCGAAATAAGCGGAACAAATACTCAGGTCTGATCCATTAATTTTTATATCTAAAAAAACAGTATTTATAAACTGTATGATTTAAGTAAAAAAAAGGAGAAAAGATTCTGGTTACGAATGCAATAACAAGCAGACTTTACAACTTCTGCTTCGGAAATCATAATAAACTTTATATTTTATCGGAAAGCCAGGAATAACACCTTTATAAAAGTGCGGCTCCTAAATCAGTGCGACATCAAGTGTCATTTGCCTCCATATATAAAATAAGGTTGCTGAGTAGCACAGTTTTGATTTGTGCAAATTTATTTGTACAAATACGAAACAGATGAATTGTCGGACTTAACCATAAGTAAATTTTTGAAGCTGCAAGATTCATCCATAAATGTATGGCTGGGGCAAGTTCCAGAAATTGGCTTATAGATTTACGTCAACTTTCTTAGTTGCATTTTTCGTCTTTTTATTAAATCTTATGCAATTAATACACACTTGCACTTCTTTTTTATCACATTCTGAACTCTTATGCTCACCAGAGCAGCAATAACAAGCCAAGGGATTTCTGCAATCAAGACTTCTGTGGTAGCCTAAACATTTAAAACATCTATTTAAAACAACAATCTTCAGCTTTACACATATTCCACATCACTTTTAATACGCCCAGAATTTAAAATACGCTTGCGCACAGAAGGATGAACCTCAATAACCACGCTTCTCTCACGTTGAAACTTTTTTTAAAGTAAAGCGAACTTTAACGTCTTTCCAAGTCTCATCACTCACGGTAATTTCAGGATTTTGTTCTTCAATAATTTTTAACAGTTCATTTCATCATTACTAATGCTGTTTGGCACATTTTTAAGTAAAACTGTAGGATATTTTTCGTCTTGGAATAGAGGGATTCAAAATAGATGAGTCTTCCTGCAAAGCAGTAAACATTTTTTCTTATCATATCCCGAAGCACATTTCACCATTACTTTAATTGTTATGAACTGTTCGAATATTGCTAATTCCAATTTTATGTTTCCGAGGGTTGATTTCAGCTTTAAGGAGCTTTTTAACTTCATCAGATGTACAGTTTTGGGCACTCACAAAAACACAGCAATCTGAATCAGTCTGATTTGTCCCAACAGATGGCGCCACAGCATTAGCATACGATTTCGTTTCAATTACTTTGAGCTCTATTTCATAATTTTAGTTAAGATTACTACTGTTTATTATGTTTATTTTTACAAAAATAGTCTTGAATTAACATGCATAAAAGCGAAGGTGTCGAGGGACATTTACTCAAGTATCTTCTAAATTTTACTACATAAATTGGCTTTTCACTCAAAATTTCTAAAGAATCTTGTACTAGCGAAAATACTTCATTCAGAATACTCTACTTATACTACAGAGTTCTTTGATACTCTACTTTGGCTATAATCCCATCACTTCACGGAACTACAATTTTGACCTAACTTAATTTGCCAGTTTGGCATCATCATTCTTACTTGAGTAAAAGGCGAAACACCTTCGCATCTATTAATTATTGTTCATTGAACGGGAGTTGGTTCGTTCTTCTTGAAAAGTAAACTAATTTCCGATCAATAGAGATAATTACTTGTTTTTTCATTTCTTTTCAAAGTTTGAAATTTTTTTATTCACGATTTAAAATCAAGTACCCTTAAAAGGTTTTTTCATGATTTACATTCAAGTTCTTTTAAAACACAATTTTCGGAATTAAACTTCCTGCATATGGGTTCCCTCTTTTTGATACATTCTACTAAATTTATATTAGGAGATAATATAATCAATATTTCTTTAGTAAATGAATTATATATATATATATATATATATATATAAATGTTTATCCAAAACATTTTAAATTAAAGCAGAATCATAATAAAGCTGTCTAATGCTCCCGCTCCCCATACCACAGTGCTCTGTTTTCGTTTAAGGTACATAAGATAATTGCACAAATTCGGCATTACGCACAGCTTCGGCACCGCACATATTAAATATATATATATATATATATATATATATATATATGTACTAATATATATATATATATATATTACATTATATGTTACACTTCTATTATTTCAAGTTCAATTTTTTTTTTTTTTTTTTTATTTTTCATTAAGCTTTACGTCTTGTTAGTGTTCCCGCCATCCAGATTTCGCGCCAAATCTTATATTTGGCGTTAAGCAGCGCCCCGATAATAGAAAAGTATCGAATTGTCTTTAATGCTTCATTTAAAGAAGAAAATTCGAAATCATTAAATAATTTGTCAGAAGAGGTATCTAATTTAAATCATAACATATTAGATATCATTCTTTTGACATCATATCATAGATATCGTCTAAATTTTGAAAATACAACACCGTTTCGCCGTGATATGGGAAAGAAATTTCTCATAATAAATGTCGGTGCAGAGGGATCGTAACTATTTAAAATTTCTATGATTCCAAAATGATATTTGTGAATCATTTCAAAATCATGCACATGATGATTTTACCATATGAGATTTTCTCTAGTCTTAACAACTACGACAAAGTATCATATTAAAAAATATAGCAATAAAAGAACTTGAACGTTATGAAATATTAAATTTATCTTCATATGTTGATGATTGATATCGGTATATATTGGTGATATGAGATGTACTGGTACTAATGCTTCGTTTTCTTGGAACATAACTTAAGTGCTAATTCAGATATGGCTGTATAATCAGTTTTATTACTTAAGGCATATTGTTTTGATGTATAAAAAATTTAAAAATTTTTCAGCGGAACTTGGTGACTATGATCCAAGGAAGCACCATAAACTCTATGTTTCCGAATTTCGATTCTTACCCGATCAAAGTCCGGAACTGGAAGACAGAGTTGAACAGATACACAAAACTCTGGTGTAAATATGCTTTGCTTGATTTCTCTTATTTAAAATTCAATTAATTCGGAACTTTTTGAAACTTAAAAAAAATTAATAAGGATTTTGTTTTAATTTTTAAAAAATGTAACTTATTCTCTTTTGACTATGTTCTCTCTCTTAAAATAAATTTTAGCTTTTTAATCTGTCTAAATGTTTAGCTACGCATAATACTGTAACAAAGAATGTTAATAATTACCATTTGTCTTAGTCTCAAAATAGACGAAGTTTTCCCAAACCAAAGTTGCAAATGATTTTCTTTTGGAAGTTCCTACATTAATATCACAGCATTTTTCGCGGACAAGCAACTCAACTGAAAAATTAGATAATCCTAACACAGCAATTTTAATTCAGTGGTTAATCATATTCAAATTACGTATAATAATCATGAAACAAAAAAGCACAATAAACTCCCCCTACTGGTCGGTATATCGTGGTTTCGGATATTATAATATCCGCAAGGGTTGTTTAAAGTACATGTGCATTATCTTGCATCATTGTGAAATAAAGCTTTTAGTAATAAAGAAAATCAAATTGCTGTCAAAACCATTTTGCAATAACGGAATTGAAAACGAAGGCGAAGAGGATAATGAAACTGAAGAAAAACAACACCTACAAATGAGCAAATGCTAGAAATTGTGAATGCATCGGGACATTGCGTACAGTATGATTTTCGTTAAAATCGTGTGATAATCATTCAAAAACTAGTTTAAAAATTTGCAAAAAACTAAGTCAAAACAATGCAAAAAATTGCATTGTTTAGACTTAGTTGGAAGTTTTGGAAAATTTCTTTTAAAAAGTCATTTCGCAAAACATCCATATGTACGATTGTTTTGCATTTACTTTTTACTGTTTGTTGTATTTTGCCCTTTCCTATTTTTTAAGCTGCTTTCAGAACACCTTTTTCCATTATGTCTGAATATTCTACTTTTATTAACATAGGGAAACTTTCATTTTCCGTGTATCGCGAGTAGGAGTTTAATATTGTTACCATCTTCAACATTGGAACAAAGGAATGTTAAATTAATCAACAAGATTGACTTAATTTAGTAAGCCTTTCAGTTTCTACTGTTGGAAACACTTTTATAGGACTTCTCTCTGGAAGTATAATTTTCCTTGAAGTTAATTTTTTCAGTGAAGAATGCATCATTCTAAAAGACACAGACGAGTTTTCTACTTTGAGCTATATCCTGAAAAGGCGGTTTTAAAAGTTGAGGATTTTATTTTTCAATATACTTTGCAACATTACTATAGAGATGTGTGTTATTTAATATTTTATTGTGTTTTCTTAATTTTATAACCTTTATCATTGACCTAAAGTTCAATTAATGGCATTGACAGATAGTAATATGTGTCATTTATTATGCCATTTATTGTGTCTTTTAATTATGTCATTATGTCATTTATTATGTCATCAAAACAATAGCTCTAATGAAGCGCAAATAACTAAATAAATTAAAAATTCCTAATTCGTTTGAAAGCAATAATATATTGAATTTAATATTTTTAATGAATGATGATATCTTGATTAAAATAATAGTTTAATATATGCAAAATGTTTGTTTGAAAATAAGAAATTTCGGAACAATGTTTCCATTTTTGTTTTCGAAAAATGTTTTAAAAAATATATGCTTACCACAGTGTAAGATAAGAATTGAAAGACAAGTAATCTTTCTTTCACTAACAGTTTGTTTAGCGGTTGTGGAATGAGGTCGGTCACCATTTATATGTTCAAAAAAATTTACTGCAGCCAAAGGTTTTCACTTGTATTTTCAGTTGAAAAGTTTGGCGTAACGTATAAATTCCCGTATTTTTGTCAACCATGTGCATCAACGTTGTGTGTTCTGACAAAATAACTTAATAGAGCTTTTAAACTGCTTTCACAGCATCATGTTCTCAGAAATTCTTTAAGGTCTTCATCTACTGTCAGGAACAAATGGAATGTCTGCGATGACGTTACTGACTCAGCTGACAAGGACATAACGCATGTGCGCAAAGTTATCATGGAAAATGAAACGTTGTGTTGCCTTTATAATCTAAAACCCAAGATCAACCTTCCATGCAAATATTATCTACGAGAGTGAAAATATTCTGAATAGATCATTGGATGCTCATGGTAATGGTGGAAAAATTTTTCTACTGGAAATATATCTTTCATTGAGAATTCATTCTCCAAGACGTCAGTAAGGAAAGTGATCTGAAGTATTCCATTAGAGATGCTATTCTCTTAAGGCATCCAAATAACATTAAACAGCTAAGGATTGGGCACGACAATGCTTTGGCGAACTGTTCATGTTTTGGAAATCGAAGCATCTGTGCCGAAAACACCTTTATTTAAACAGATTGCAGAACTTTCAAATTTTGTATTCCCTAAATTTGCAAGCAGCATTAAAGTGTAAATGTTTCCGTGACATAAAATGTTGTTAAAATAATGCAGAATATTTTAGTGTATATTGTCAACAAACTGTTCTAATATTTTGAATAACTGTAGGAATGTTCGCAAAGTATGTGGATTTTATATCACGAATCCAATGTTTACTCCGTCAATATTCGTAATCATTATTATTCATTGCCAATATTTGGGATTAAAACCAGCATTTGGGAATATTTGACAGCTGCCGTTTATGTTGCAAATATTTCTTTAGAGTGAAAGAATTTCATTTCCTCTTATAATACTCGTATATCCCAGACATTATAACTGCTAGTTTATTTCCGAGAGCAACTATCAGGTTTTACCTAAAATGTTTTCAATACTTTTTATGAGCCATGTAATTTATTCCCATATTTTTTTCTATTTCTAGTGGGCAAGTACCTTCAACTGTAGAAATGACTTTTTTAGAGAAAGTTAAGTGGTTGGACATGTATGGTGTTGATTTGCATCCAGTTATGGTACGTTTGAAAGTAAAATAAGTGCAGTTACAAAGTTTGAGATTTTATGATTTCAAATCGTATCATTTTTTTTTTTCACTTTTAAAATTTCCTTTTGTCTGTTTTATTAGCATTTTATCTTTTCTTTTTACAGGGAGAAGACCATGTCGAATATTTTTTGGGATTAACACCGAGTGGGGTAGTCGTGATGAAGAAAAAAAATAAAATTAGCAACTATTTCTGGTGAGATTTGCTGCTTATGGGCTTTTCCAAATTGTCATTATTACACTGGGAATAGGAATTAAATGATAATCTATGAAAACGTAAAGATTTGCAATTTGTGTGAGTGAGTGGTTCTGAGCGATTCTCTAAAAATTGGTTAAAGCAGTAGAATTCAATTGCTTTGTAAAACATTCTTGTATGCACAAAAGTGTGAAAACTAGAAATGCGTTAGCTGAGCGCGCAGCAGAGCAATAGGATTAAAACATAGGATAACTATCCTTGTAAATATGGTTTCATGTAGTGATAGTAAATAATTCTTGAAATTTTCAAAAAGGAAAAGCTTAAACTATTATGGAAATTGATCGATTGTTTAAAAAAGAGCGTTGGATGGAACTAGTCAGAGGTGTTCAAACTGTCAAGTATACTCCAAAATTTCCTCTTCGAGTTTAGGGAGAGAGTCAACATTAGCTAGCTAATACAGAGGGCCTTTACACATTTTTAGAACAGTTTTGATAAAGAATTAAAAAAAAAAAAAAAAAAAAAAAAAGACAATCTTCTGGAACAAAAATTTCTGGAAACAGTTTATTATTCGAAGTTGAAATGAGAAATATCGTCGGCAACTTTTTAACTTATTTATATTTTAAAATGTCTCGTGTAAACATGCTGTAGAATGAAAGCCAAGTTTTTCCGCTTTTCGAAGAGAAGCATTCCTATTCCATAATAAAAAACATTGTGAAATGCATAGCATTAAAATTTCTAAGTAAACAATATTATTAATTGGAAAGGGTAAAAACGTCAGTCGTTACTTCTACGTGGAAAGAAGACTCTAAACAAATACTTTAAAAAGGTACATAATGTTTTTAATGCTTCTTAAGTTAAATCATTGGTAGTAAGAGAAAATACGTCGACGAAGAAGTCAGTTGCAAACCCTATAAATATTAATTCAGAAGTCAAACAACAAAAATCAGCATTATATTTTCAAAATTTTCACAGGACTAGTTTCGATGGTTTTATCGAACCACCTTCCTCAGCTGGAAAACCGCAAATGAACAAGATAGGAAATAATGATTAGATAAGATAAGAAAGCATGGACAAGAATAAGCAAGTGGTGCCATCTGTTGGTTAAACCAGAACTAAAACATTATTTCTTTAAAGGCAGAAGGCAAAGATGGATTGGAATTACGATCGTTAAGTAGAACAGAAAGATTTTTTTCAATGTGAAATGCCTCTAGAAAATCCAGTTCTCCAATGGAAGATGTTTTTTTGAATAATTTTGGCAGCAGAAAAATTGAAAGTGTGATTTTCGGACCAACAATGTTGAGCAACAGAAGACTTCTGTGTTTCCTTTTTTCTAACATATGCCTCATGTTCCTTGACGCGAAATTTTAAGGCTCTCCTAGTTTGGCCAATGTAAATCAAACCACACTGGCAAGGAATCCTATAAATACCCCAAGAATTCATATCCGGAATGGGGTCTTGAGTATGGAACTCGGAATTTTATTGATGGGAGAATAAACAACCCGAAAGTTGAATTTCTGCAAAATATGTGCATAGCTAATTGATGGAAAGAAGGGAATGACAACAGAATTTTTATAATCTCCTAAAACAAGAGTGTGCCTTTTAGTGTGTTGAGATGAGAATTTTTTAACTGCTTGATTAATAATGTTGGGTGAAAAGCCCATGTCAATAGCTATTGCTTTTAAATAATTTAGCAACACCTACATCGGTTTGCCTTCCACCACACTTTAAATTATGTCATCCGACTAAACAAAAGTTAGCTTCATTTTATTCCTATGTTTTCGGTGCTCTTCAAGTTTGCTCTTCCAAACTAGCCCTTGATGAAGAACTAAATTATTTAAAAGCAATAGCTATTGACAGGGGCTTTTCACCCAACATTATTAATCAAGCAGTTAAAAAATTCTCATCTCAACACACTAAAAGGCACACTCTTGTTTTAGGAGATTATAAAAATTCTGTTGTTATTCCCTTCTTTCCATCAACTAGCTATAAAGTTGCACATATTTTGCAGAAATTCAACTTTCGTGTTGTTTATTCTCCCATCAATAAAATTCCGAGTTCCATACTCAAGGACCCCATTCCGGATATGAATTCTTGGGGTATTTATAGGATTTCTTGCCAGTGTGGTTTGATTTACATTGGCCAAACTAGGAGAGCCTTAAAATTTCGCGTCAAGGAACATGAGGCATATGTTAGAAAAAAAGGAAACACAGAAGTCTTCTGTTGCTCAACATTGTTGGTCCGAAAATCACACTTTCAATTTTTCTGCTGCCAAAATTATTCAAGAAACATCTTCCATTGGAGAACTGGATTTTCTAGAGGCATTTCACATTGAAAAAAATCTTTCTGTTCTAGTTAACGATCCTAATTCCAATCCATCTTTGCCTTCGGCCTTTAAAGAAATTATGTTTTAGTTCTGGTTTAACCAACAGATGGGGCCACTTGCTTATTCTTGTCCAGGCTTTCTTATCTTATCTAATCATTATTTCCTATCTTGTTCATTTGCGGTTTTCCAGCTGAGGAAAGGTGGCTCGATAAAACCATCGAAACTAGTCCTGTGAAAATTTTGAAAATATAACGCTGATTTTTGTTGTTTGACTTCTGAATTAGTATTTATATAAATATATTATAAGGTATTTCTCCCACTTTCCTAGCGTCCTCCGTGGTGTAGTGGTTCTGCACGCTGGTCCGGTATTCCAGAGGTCCGTGGTTCGATTCCCAGCGAAGGCGGTTTCTAATTTTTCATCTCTCCAGCTTCCAAAAAATCCTAATGTCTCTACAATATTTATAGCATTAATAAATAAAATAATAAATCAAGACTTACAACTTAAAAAAGCTAAACGACATAATGTTCTCCAGTTATTGCTGACCAATTTTTGTCAACAGACGCTTCACTGATAGCAATCAATCATGTAAATATTTATTAATAATTATGTGTTTGTAAACGAATATTCGGAAAATAATTAAAATAGAAAAATATTTAATGTTACAAATTGCATTTAATACAAATATAGAATATAAAATGTCTTTAGAATGAAATTAAATAATAAAATGTGTGTATATTTAGGGCAGCGTCAGAGCCAATGCGATGGCAGCGGGCGGCAAAATTTAGGGGCGAGGAAGATCTATAGATCCCGGATAGCAGAAAGCGCAAAGCCGGCACTACGTAAATTTTCATTATTCCTTTGTGAAAACATCTGTTTGAATCATATAGTTTAAGAGCACCTTCTGTGCTGGGCTTATTTTAATTCCTGAATTTCACAAAGCCCACATTTTATTTCGCTCTGCTGTTTCCAATTTAAGAACTTTCATTCATATCTTTAATCAAATATTCATTCTTAGTTCTTCACCAAAGAATTAAGCAATTCTTTTAATCTAATTTTAATACTCAATATAACATTGAAAGAGTCGTCAGATAATAGGAAAGCAAATTCGAAGATGTAAGCTGTGAGAAATTCACAACGCATTTTATGAGATAAGGAACGATAAAGCTTTTAATAAAGCAGTGCAACATGATGCACAAAATTTATGTGTTAAAGATTTTGAAATTTATTTCCTATATGATAATTTATCGCAATATTCTTAACAGAATAAATCCTATTAGCCAATAGTTTCAAGATAAGAACTACAAATACTGAACTTGCATTAGAATGCGTTGAAGGGAAATAAACATCTTTCCTGCAGTACAGAATGAATTCTAATCATAGCAACATGTTTAAACCTGCCAAAAACGAATTTGAACTTAAATCTGCAGTTAAAATCCGATGAATATAAAAGACACGTAAGTTTCAGTATGAACATCAAGATGAATCACTGCAAACACCTGAAGATAAATTTAGAATTACGTATTTTATACGTTATGATATTGCATGCACATCCTAAAACGAACGCTTAGAACTACTAAAATTGCACAATGGTAATTTCTATATAATTTATCGGAAACTGATAAAAAAAAATTCTAGGGAAGAACTGAAGCAATTTGGAAAAAAATTACTGAAAATATGTGTTTTCAAAGATATTTACAAAAATTAATTTAAAACTCAGAATCCTTTAAACATTCTGCATTTTACATCTAGTGATTTATCGGTTCTAACTTCTCCGTTTCATTAAGAATATTACTAACTTTACCTGTTGGCGTTGCAAACAGGGAAAGATCATTTCCGAACTAAAATTAATTAAGCCTTATCGACGTATGTGAATGACACAAAATGATTTATTAAACTTAAATTATATATGTGCTGAATTAGACATAAAAGAAATAATTGCTACTCTCATTCATCTAATATGTGAAAAAGATAAAACCTCAGATGTGAAAACAAAATTCATTCATTGCTTAATTAATTAAATTCTTATACATAAATGTTTAATTAATTTTTAAATTATACATTTTTGATTAAAATGCAATTTAACTGCTTCAGATACGGTTTTGTTATTTCATTTCTTCTCCTAAATTTTCTTCGATCATCGATATGAAATTAAAAAGGCTTATCCCTAACAGCAGTTTATTCGCAGGCTGGCGCCGAACACCCTAGCGCGGCATGGGCAAGAAAGAGTCATTGTTGTCTTAAAGCTTGCATAAAGTTTAAATACATTAAATTATCTGTATCCAATTTCTTTATGTCATTCAAAATGCAGTACAACGCGAATTCCAGTTATTCGGACTCAAAGTATTTGTAATTCTAATTATTTGCATAGTTTGCCTTCTTCCTAGGTCACGTAAATTAAATTTATTGTCAATTTGTGTAAATGGTTTTAATTTTTTATATCTAAACAAACTTAAGGGTAGTATAGTATGAAACCTACTTTTTAAGAAGCTATTTAATTAATTTACATGAATGATACAACATGTATGTTGTTTGCCTACAAGGTTTGACATATATAAATATAAATTGAAATATAAATCGAAAAGCAAATATGGACTTTATATCGGTCTACTGTTCTTTGTTTATTTCATGAGTCATTACTTAATCTCAAGAGCAGTTCCGTTTCTACTAAAATTTTGAAACAACATAATGACTCTATATCATTGTAAATGTTAAGTGAGATTTATGTTGAAAAGAAAAATTTAGGTATGTTATGTTCAAATTTGATTGGTTTTATCAGACTACAGCAATGCACATGAGGGTTATCTGGTTGAGGAAAGGGTAGTCTTGTGGGAAACTTTATTAAAAAAAACTGATTCACATTCACATTACGCATGGAGAAAACCATGAAATTTCCCATGCAGTCAGTGCATGTTTAGATATGCTTAGATAATAATAGGTTCAAGTAAAAAAAAAAAAAAAAAAAAATTTTTAATTCGGTCTTACTAGGAAATAAAATATTTTATGCTTTTCATTGTACAATTTTAATTAGAATAAAATAAACTCCCGTGCTTGTAATACATTAAATATTTAATTAGGCTATAGAAGAAAATCATTTTAATGATCTACATTTTTTAAGCATCCTAAAGGCTGTTTTCTGGTTCATCAACATTTTGAGGTATATATTACAATTATAGCTTAAACTTCCGCAACTTGTGAGTACAAACACTTCTATACGCATATTTAGCATTAGCCACTGTATGTGTACAAAGTTCTTTCGGTTGTTTATTGAAAAAGGATAATCTGCTTCCTAATTCTCGTCAGTTTTGTTGTTGTTGTGTTATGACTTATCTCACTTGTCTTGTCGAAACGGGCCTTTCGGTACCGCAGCAGGCTTCCCTAACCACTATACCATCTGGGCGGCTCGACAGTTTTATTCTACAAGACCTTAAATTAAATATTGGTAATTCAGGAGACGAGCCGTTTTCACACTCAATTTTAGTTCCTTAAAAACCAGCAGGACATCGTATCTCCGTGTTTCACCTGATATCCGCTGTAAATACTAAATCATTAACTGTATTCCATCAAAATTTTTATTATTATTATTATTATTATTATTATTATTATTCAGAATAGTCTTGCAGAATAGCACAGTATTTTTTTCGCATGTTATATATGCAAGTTTTTTAAATGCCCGTATTGTAATCCGTATCTTTTATTACTGATTTTTTCTAGGCCTCGGATTAGTAAGGTCTTCTTTAAAGGAAAATACTTCATGATCCGAGTCAGAGATAAAGCGGTAAGTTGCTGAATTAAATCTTGAGCAAGTTAAGTTTTAAGAAAGATAAATTGCAGTAAATTTATGAATGTATTTGCTTTTGCTTGTCTTGTAATATTGTGTACGTTTTGCGTTATTAATTACATACCTGTTCTGTATAGTGTGGATTTTTTTTAAATCCTTTTATATTTACTGCGAATTCTGAACTATTTATAGGTTGTACGAAATTACGGATTGTATTCTTAACGCTTAATTCACTTACTATAGATTAGAATGATAAATATTTTTTAAATAACTGAATATAATTTTGTTCGAGTGGAACCTGATATAACACCTGTTAAAATCTTCTGCATTAGGAAATAATTAGTTAAATGTAAGATACCCAGAAACACGGTTTTATTAAAATATGAGCTTTTGATTTTACCATCAGCTTGATAAAGGTTGATTAAGGAAATCGCACCGTTAAACAGATTTGTATGTTCTCACAGCATCGTGAAGCAAGATATCAGTTTTACAACCTAGTTTTTCACTTTTACTATAACACGAATTCAATTTCTCCGTTATCGTATGGCACAGAATGTAACATAAAATTATATATATGATATAAAAATTATTCTTCTAGATATTTTTTTCGTATGTTCATGTATTACTCCAGTATTTCGACTCCCTACTAAAAATTAGCTCAGTATTTCGACCGAAACATACGACTGAAATCTTCGATAGACGTCATAATATGTTTCAGCTGTTCAATGCATATAGCGATGAGGTGAAATGTCATATTGGTTTTAAATCATTTGTTAACGCCGTCTGTAATGATCATGTAAACTTTGCATACTGCTTGATCATCGAGAGATCCTCGCAGCAAAAAAAATACGAAAGTGTCAAATACTGCACCAAGATTTAACTTGTTTTGCAGCAAAAGACAAGCACACTCGTCTCATTAAAATGTGATTTTCTTTCGTTCGTTAGTTTTTATATAGTTGAAACAAATATTATAACTACTTTTTTCATATATACTTTTTACCAAAAATGTAATATATAAGAATTTTTGTATCTTTATATATTTCTGTGCTAGCGAAAAAAATCTCGATGATAAAATGGCATGATAACATCTGTGTCACCCCCGAAGCATTGCAAAGATTTGATAGAAATGTATTAAAATAGATAATAATATTGCTACGAATTTTATGTATATGTAAATAATTTTGCTGAAATTATGTGTAAATTGTAGTATCTCTTGTATAATGTAACATAAAAAGCGTCAGACGGTGAAGCATTGCTGGAAAAGTACGGTTACCGAGGTAAATGATCAGAATTTGGCGACAAATCGCCAAACATCGCCAGTTTAGTAACCGTTTGGCAACACTTTGGCCTGTCCTTGTGTAACTGCAACTGTATTCCTATGTAACGGTAAGTGGGTATGCTTTCTCACACTTTCGAGAAATCAAAAGTACTGGAAATTTCTTGGCAGACGGAGGGGGGTATATGTGATATAGAAAGCATCAGTTTTCGGTTGAGTTTAGACTTTTGAGTGACCTTCGTGCGACCTTCGGTTTTAGATGCCCTTTGCATTGCCTTATATTCAACTACTAAGCCTTGTGTGCTTAAGTAGTTTGAAGTGGTAACTGTACGAGTACTTTTATGTGAAAATTTCCAGAACTGTAAACATGTTTTTACTTCCTTGTATGAAGTAAAAAGGAAGTATTGCAATCGCGAAAAGTTTCAGGCAGCATATTTCAACGAAAATATCCATTTTGACCGCTATCGAATGCAACTTAACGATGTTTTTGCGTGATATCTGTACGTAAGGACAGAATAAAATACTCTTTTTTCCTTCAAAAAAAAATTTAAAATTAATTCTGAAGAGAATTTTTGTCGTCGTACAACATGTACGTGCGTGTCTCTCAAACTCAAAAACGGTAGCCTCAACGTTGAAATGTATAGATTGCTATAATGATTGCACTCGTTTTGTCGCAATCGGCACCAACGTATATAAATATTTATATATATGTGGGATTTTAAACGATGAACAAATTAATTAACGAAAGACATTTTAATTAGACAAACGATTATTACATAAATTTAACATTTAAGAGAATTAAACAATGATTCGTCAAAGTTCTTTTTGAACAGAAGCAGCAGCTCTCTGCTTTCACGTCAATCGTCTATCATCAAACTTAATCTCAAAACGGTAATTTTGCTTTTGCTTGGCGCCTTCGCAGCTCGTAGAGAGAATGACGTCACGGCATCTGGTTTTTTTCATCACAGCTCCAAGCGATCGGCACTACATTTCGGCCATCCGAGGGTGGACTTGGCCCTCCAGGACACTGCAAAAAACAAACAAAAAACAAACAAAGCAACAAGCAAGAATATACAATAACAGAAATAAGTGTTCGTGAAAAATTTTAAGGCGCCGTCCATTTCTTGAGGAATTCGGCACATGTGGTAGTGCATATGGGCCCCTCATGGCATCCTTCCTTTATTACGTCATAGGTGTTACCACCCTTAACTTTCTTGATCTTATAAGGTCCGAAATACTTCGCTCTTAATTTTAAGTGTGGTCCGAATTGAGTCCTTTTGATTGCCACTAAGTCACCAACTTTGTACGGCTGTGCTTGTCTTCTTTTGGCATTATATGTCTTTTTATTTTCCTGTTGGACTTGGAAAATTTGCCTCTTGGCTTGCTTTCGTAATTCTTCTCTTTGAGACTCGAATTGAGATTGAAACTCACTTTCTATCAGTTCTTTGAGCTGATCGGTGCCCTTACTGTTCATTTTAGTACCGAAGAGTAATTCGAACGGAGTGGTGTTAATGCTTCTTTGATATGTTGAGTTAAGCGTTCTCTGAACTTCGTGTGTGTGTTTATACCATTCGGTTGGTTTTTTTAAGGACAGTTTCGCTAATACTGATATAATGACTTGGTTGATTCGTTCGACTTGTCCATTTGCTCTCGGCAGGCCTGTGGTGATTAGATGATGTTTAATATCTTCTTTAGCACAGTAGTCAGAAAACTCACTGGATGTGAAAGCCGTTCCTCTATCAGAAATGATCTGACAAGGGCTTCCAAAAATGGCCTTCTGATTCTCTAACTTCGCTATCACCTCGGCTGAGGTCGTAGATTTTGTTGGATAAATCCAAGTAAATTTAGTAAAGGCGTCGACCACTACTAATAGGTGCTTGTAGTTTTTATGGGTACTTTCCAGAGGACCCAAGTGATCTATATGATAAGGTATGCAACGGAATGTCCTCCTTGAATCGCGGATGTAAAAATCCTTCCTTTTTCCCTGCTTTGCGATTTATTAAGATGCAATGAACGCAATTCGCGATAACGTTTTCTATCTTCTGCCGAAGTTTGGGAATGAAATAGTATTCATCCAGGTGTTTCTCTGTATGTTTGATACCGGTGTGCCCTTTCTCGTGAGCATCTTTTATGATTTCAGTCTGCATACTTTCCGGTACGACTATCAATTCTTTACCGTCAATAAACTTGTATAGTACGCCATTTCTATTACAATAATTTTCATAACTTGAGGTTTTCAATAATTCCTTAATGGTTTTTATTTCAGTGTCATTTTCTTTGGCAAGTTTTAATTTAGGTAAGATATTTTCAATAGAAATGCATAAGACGTTTACAGGAGCTCTACTTAGAGCATCTACATGTGGCATTCTAACACCTTTACGATGCTCTATAACATAATCGAATTCCTTGTAACAACAGAGCCCAACGAGCAACACGCGTCGCTAAATCTCTTTTTTCCATCGTCCGTTGAAATGCTGAACAGTCCGTCACTATCTTAAATGAAATTCCCAAAAGGTAAACACGGAACCTTTTCAGTGCTTCTACGATCGCGAGGACCTCCAACTCGTAACTTGAGTACTTTTTCTCTGCATCAGAGGTTTTCCTACTCATAAAATAAGTGGGGTGAAAACTGCTATCACCTGGGGGTTTCTGCATTAGAATCGCCCCATATCCTTCTATACTGGCGTCTGTGTGTAGTTCGGTTTCATAATTAGGGTTATAAATTGCAAGTACAGGCTTCTCAGCTAGCGCTGATTTCAAACGATTGAATGCGATCTTTTGTTCTTCACCGAATTCGAACTTATTACCCTTTTTTAGCAGGTCGCTAAGTGGCTTGGCAATTATAGAGTATTTATTAATAAATTTTCTGAAATACCCTGTCAGCCCAAGAAAACTTTGGATCTGTTTTAAATTAGATGGTTCAGGGAAATTTATAACAGCTTGCGTCTTCAAAGTGGATGGGAAAATTTTACCCTCTTCTATGACATGACCTAAAAAGTCAATTCGTTTCTTTAAGAATTGGCGATTTTTTAAAATTTATTTCCAATCCGTATTCACTCGCTAGATTTAAAACTTGACTCAGCCTCTCGATTCCCTCTTCGTATGAGGCGGACAAAATGATGATATCGTCCATGTACGGCAAAACGATGCCATCGTTAACTAACGGTCGGAAAATGGTATTTATGAATCTCTGGAATACAGCTGGTGAGTTACAGAGTCCAAACGGCACTTTCAAAAACTGGTACTGTCCTTCATGCGTAACAAATGATGTGTACTTCCGACTTTCCTTTTCGACGTCCACGTGAAAAAAGCCATTTTTGAGATCAATAGTGCTGAAAACACGTGCTTCTTGAAGGCGGTCTAGGATATCCTCAATCAGGGGAAGGGGAAATCTATCCTTTACGACAACTTTGTTTAAACGACGATAATCAACGCAAACTCTTGGTGTCCCGTCTTTCTTTTTAACGATGACCAATGGGCTGGAATATTCCGAAGAACTCTGTTCTATAATTCCTGACTTTAGCCATTCGGATATTTGGGTTTCAACAATTTTCTTTTCCGCAAACGGTAATCTACGCGGTTGATGCGATACTGGTTCGTTATTTTTAACGCAAATTTTTAACTGTATGTCCGTAGATTTGGTCTTACATGGCATATAGTTCGAAACTAACTGTTGAACAGTCTCTTTAAAGTAGTTTGGAACACTAGGTGCAATGTTTATTTCTTCTTCGTTACTAGCTAGGTCAACAGGTAAAACAGATACAATATTTACTTTCTCTACACTCTGTGACTTACTTTTTATGGTAACCCCATTTTCATTTATTAATATTTCACCTTTTAATATTACGTTTAAGCCTAAAATGGCTTCATGTGTCATTACATTGTTGTCTACAACACAAATATCTGCAGTACACTGGAAATCATTAATTTTAATATTACCTTTAAAGAAACCTAGAGGTTTTTTTACTTGACATTTACCGAACCCACTCAGCGTTGAACTTACGGGCACGAGGCCTTCGATATTCAGTTTATCAAAAGTCGATCTACATAACAAAGTAGTTTGACTTCCTGTGTCTATTAACGCGGTTACATATACATCATTAATTTTTACTTCTTTGGTCAACTTCGAGACTACATCAATATTATTCACGGTTGATACTTCTGGTTTCGAATTCGTATTTGAGCATTCGAAACTTCGGTGCCCAAATTCTTTACATTTAAAACACTTGACTCCCTTATCTTTATGAACACATTGTTTGGAAATATGACCGCTTTCACCGCAGTTGAAACAGGTTGTATTGCGTTTAATTTCAGGAATTGTTCCTCGACTATCGGTTACGTTACGCTTTGTTTGGTTAACAGAATTTTTTGAGTCATATTTATGCCTAGATTCAATTTTTTGTTTTAGACGTTCGCGACTTTTCTTCATCATCACATATCTGTTGATAAAGCTTCAATTTGTTCTTAAAATCAGTTAATGTTTGTGACCCATACAAGCAAGATTTTTTAAACGCGGAGCCTGGTATACCATCTATAACATATCGTATTAAAGCAACATCTTCAATTTGACCATTTTTAGCAATTCTTTTCATATTTAAAAAATACTCATCAAATGTTTCATTGCTCTTCATTTTTTGTTTTGATAATAACTCATGCAGTTCGGCCGAATTGAATTGCAGCTGGACCGGAATTCATCAAGAATAGCATTCTTAAAAATTTGCCATGAGTTCAACTTTGGTTCACTAAGAACAAATAGTTTTGCTTTGCCTGTCATCAGGCGTTTAGCAAAAATCAGTTTTTGTAAATCATTTAACTGAAGAATGGTAGCTGCATCTTCAAAACTTTCGACCCAACTACTGACATTTTCGTGGCTTTGGCCATCAAATTGAGCAACAAAAGATTTGATGTCTTCAATAGTAACATTTATACTACAGTTATGAAATACATTCGACTTGTTTTCAATTGTACTAAGAATATTATCATTAGCACATTGGGAAGGAAGTTGTCTCACTGTGGCACCAGAATTGTTTCTTAGTTTCGTTTCATCTCGAACATTATCATCTACTTCTTCATTTTTATCCCCACCATCCACACCCTCTAAATCACTTTCGTTTTCACTTTCTTCTAAAATTACATTATTTTTAAGCAATTCTAAATTATTCAGATAAGAAACAATTCGGGTTGCTAAGTCATCTTGTGTGCCAGAGCTATCAATGCATAAAACATTGGCAATGGAAATTAATTCATAAGCCTGAAAATCTTGTTTGATTTTTTCGAGTTTTTCATTAAGTTCTTTACTATTCTCTTCTAAAGAGAAACCACTAAATTGTCTTAACCTTTTTCGATTATTTCTGTCGCCCACATCGTTAAATATTATTTTGTGTAATAATTTTATATTATGCGCTTTTTCACTTTTCAGGACATCTTCCATTCCCGGCACATCAATTAGAAACATAGTTAATAAAATTGAGAAAATCACTCACTTCATATAATGGTAATCCACGATGTTCCTGGCTCTATAATCCGGAAACAGAAACGAAACAAATTACTTCCATACCATCCAATGGATCACAAATGCTGTCGACAAGAGGCGAGTACAAACAGATTATGTCCGATGGATTTTTGGCCACAATTCACGTCTTGACACTTGACATCCAGTATTATTAAAATTAATTCCAGTCCTTAATAGAGCCGCACACTATTTACTCACTATTACGCAGTTTCAGTTCAGGTAAATCAGCATACATTCCTAGGAGCTTGATGAGGTTTTTGTTCGAAACATAGTTGATTATACATCGTAAAACAGTCCAGCACAGCAACAGTTATTCTTCAAAACCGGTAGTAATCCAGGAAAGCAGGTAAAACTACAGTTCATTCGAGTGCTTAATTGCTATCCCACTTCTGAGAAAATTTTTGTGGGGATTTTAAACGATGAACAAATTAATTAACGAAAGACATTTTAATTAGACAAACGATTATTACATAAATTTAACATTTAAGAGAATTAAACAAGTAATGATTCGTCAAAGTTCTTTTTGAACAGAAGCAGCGTCTCTGCTTTCACGTCAATCGTCTATCATCTCAAAACGGTAATTTCCCTAATTTTTGCTTGGCGCCTTCGCAGCTCGTAGAGAGAATGACGTCACGGCATCTGGTTTTCATCACAGCTCCAAGCGATCGGCACTACGTATATATCCATTCTATTACCCGGCTTAGTAATCTCGGTTTCTTTACTCTTATATGTTTGTAAATTGTACATTTTTTTCTTTAAAAATGATTGAATTATATTGTTTTTATCTTCCGGTTAAGGATTTTATGCTTTAGTAAATCTGTGTGCAATATTTTTAGAATTATCAGCAATTTTAAAGTTGTTTAATTGCCGCTAAGCCTGTTTTTAATGGCGGCCATTGATGTTTACATTTGAAACAGGAGACTAGTGGATTTGTTGCCAATCTAGAGAAACTTAGCTTCGCGTCAACAAAGATAACGCATTCATTTATTATTGCCAATTAAATCATGCTTAATTCTTTCTGGAATTTTTTCGAGGAAATAAGCGTTTGAGATTTACTTCGTAATTTTTAATATAGATATTTTGAGTTTTTATGTATTTTTGCCTTTTCACGAGGTAAGAACTGAATTAATTAAATGAGAAATACTCAATCGTCTGTGAAAAACTGTTTCTTTCTTTCTTCTTTTTTTTTTTTTTTTTTTTTTTTTTGTTTTATTTGCTTAATTTCTTTTACACATAGTTCTAGTTTTATTATAGTATTTGAATAGAATATGTGGCAACGATTAGATAATTCTTTAAATGATATACATTTTGTGCATTCTGAGTTATAATATGAATGAAATATAATACTGTTAAGTAAACCTAGCGCCAGAGTGTCGCTATGGTAAACAAAGTGAAATTTAAAGAATGCATTTATTCTATTGTGGTTTATGCGCTGTCGGCGAAGTAGGTTTAATTCAGTCTAATAAGTTTAAATAAAATGCAAGAAAAAATGCGTATAATTTAATATTCCGTACAAGGAAGTCATGTGGTGTACACATCAGATTTTTTTAAATACATTTAATCAAGCTATTATCGTACTGTTTGCATTCAATCCATTACAAGCCTGTAACATTATGCTATTACGAGCCTGTAACATTATGCTATTACGTAACATTATGCTTGTATAATGTTTGATATTGCCTATTTTTTTTTTACGTGGTTTGGCTTCTACTTCTTCCTTTTCTTTTCAAAGAACGATGAAATGACTTACGGGTTCTTGCTGAATTCCAAAGAAGCTTGCGAATACCTCTGGAAGTGTTGCGTGGAACATCACGCATTTTTTAGGTGAGTACTAGTTTTTTTCCTTAATTACAATGCAATTTGCAGAATACATCTGAGAATGACATTTACTTTTTGCTTTTATATAAATTATGTATTGTTAATATAATATTCAAAAGAAAAGAAAATTAATTCAATGGAGTGGAGGATTTTTTTTTAACAATTATTATCTTAACAGTAGATTTGCTTCTTAAATCGTCTAAATAACGGATCAAAATTCCTTTCTGCACTACATTACTTCTTTGACTTGACATTTAATGTAAAAAGAGAGATGACAAAGATTGAAAGGAAAACGAATTAGTATATATTAATTTCGCCTTTTCGGGTCCCATTCCGTCTTAATGCAAAAGCAGTTTTATTTTTAATTCGATAATAATTTTATCATTTTATATTAAATTGCCTTTTCTTCTTAGTAGCGTTACTTAAAAATTATGAGGGAAATTAAATATTTTACATGCATAATGTTATATTAATTTTGTTTGCATTCAAACATACTATTTATTTTGCCCCATTTTTAAAGAACATTTCAGCTTATATTGAATGAAACCTTGATATGTGTTACAATATTTGCAAAAACGTATCAATTTAACAATTTTCCTTCCATTTAGACTAACACAAGTAAAAGATGTATCCGGAAATCCTATGCAAATATTTCGGTTAGGATCAAAATATAGATACAGGTATGTTTAAATGTTAATAATTTAAAAATTCTTGCTTAAGTTTTCAGACAATTTTATTATTAACAAAAGAGAAAAATATATAAATTAAGTTAATATGCTTATGTTTAATATGTTAAGTTGAGATAATTTTTCCTTCCCTTACATTGCACACTTTTTTCAGATCTAAAAATTTTTAGTAGCCTCTGCTGTTTAATTTTTATCATACAGGATATTTTAAATCGTAACCCATCCTTCTGAGTTATGTAAAATATGAATTACCTATATAAAAACTCCTGTTTTTTCCCTGGAATTGACTGGTTCCAGCATCTGGCCATAATATAAGAACATTCGCCTATGTCATCTGCTTCTGCAATGTGATTAACTCTTTGAACCCTTCTCCCCATCAGAAGAAAGCATTTTTATCCTTGTGCCCGCTTCAAAACTCGAATTCGTGATTGTAGTCCAATGTTTATTGCACTTTAAGTGTCTGCACAGAAACTATTTTCCAGTAAAATTTGAATACTGAGATTTAAAACACACAAATTCCATTAACACTTAAACAGCAAAGACACACAGAAGATTTGTGATAGAGCTGACTGCTAAGATATTAAATCGATATCAAGGACATCATCGCCACAGAAATCGACAAGGCATTCATCCGCTGCAATTGACATGCCAGTATGACAATATCTACTATGTAACATGCCCTAAAATTATTAAAGTTAGATTTTATCTTATTCAAACGGAATATCAGTTCCTTGGGCCCGATAAACTAAATGCAATGGAACAAATTACCGTGTGTTCTGTCGTTTTTGTATGAAGGCATTCATTTACTGTACTTATTATTTTTTGCAGACTAGAAGTGGTCTTGATGGTTATGTAAATCAACAGAATTTGTGTGGAAAAAATAATGAAGAATCTATAGTTTTTTTGCGGATGCAACAGCATTTTATAAAGAATGATACCTCAGAGAAATTTTTGAATTCCGAACGTAGCTTTCTTAATGGAAGCACAGTTCAACTTAGAACTGTTAAATTCAAAATAGGATAATAAATATAGACCAAGAATAGAAGTTCATGCAGACTATTCATATTTTACAGAAAACTTGTAAAGACATTAGGTATTTTTTGGAAATAGGCAAGATATTAACGCCTTCGCCGGGAACCGAACCAGCGACCTCTGGAATACGCGCCCAGCGTACAGACCACCATACCACGAAAGCATGCTAAGAAGGCGGGAAAATACCTTATATATTCCCCCTTTTAAAGGGCGACTGGGGTTTTTAGAGGACCCAGTCGCCAAATCCTGGATATGGAGAATCGCTATCCACCACCCTTTTAGTTCGGGCGCCAGTGTAGAGACATTAAGTTTTTTTTTTTTTTTTTTTTTGAAGCCTGAAAGATGAAAAATTAGCAACGCCTTCGCCGGGAATCGAACCACGCACCTTTGGAATACGCGCCTAGCGTGCAGACCACCACACCACGAAGGCATGCCAAGAAGGCGGGAGAAATACCTTATACACTAATCAATAGATTTTATACACTGAGCATCTTTGTCCTACACATTTGGTCGCTGATTTCTAGTAATAAGATTGGTCAGCGGGCTTTTGTTTCTGCTATGCATTTCTACTTTTAGTAAAGTTTTAAAATCTTCCAGGGTGGTATCATTCGTTAGAGTCATTTATTTGTTGCAAACACAAATTGTTAAGAGATAGCTTTGGCTTTGGCGACATTAGAAGTCTTCATGTGCAGTTTGACGCTGTTACGTGTAGGATTGGAAAGTTCCTATCGAGGCAGAACTATTTTGTTGCTATAAGATACGATTATTTTTATAGCGTGTGAGAAGGTTCCTCCTCCTTTCTAACTTTCTAAGTAGTATGGGTGCCTTTATCCAGATGAGATTTGCTGTGACTTAATATACATTATCACGTTATTTATTTTTTTCCCCCAAGGAATGAAAACAAAAGAATGGCTGGGAAAACAAAGAGTAGGGCTATGCAAATATGTTTGCTTACAAAAATTATGCAAATATATTACAAGCAAGCATAAAAACTCATTGTTATATCAGTAACTGGTTGAAAGAACTTTCTCCCCCGCTTCAGGTAAAAATGCTGAAATTCACTTTCTATTCTCAAATTTTTTATTATTTAATTCACTTACGGACATAGGAAGATGTAAAATGCGAATATAAATCCTTCAAGCTTTTGGGTGTCAGCGTATTCTTCCTGTTATGCACAAAGAGCATACGTCTTTCCTCCCCTCCAAATTCTGTTTATTTCTCAACTTCCTCGGCATAGTCAATTACTAAACTACATTATAGTATGTGCTGTTATTTCTTTGAATCTTTATAGCAGATATTTATACTTTGGAGTACCTACAAAAGATTATATTAATTTATCTTTGTGAATTTATAGTGGACGAACTGAGCAACAAATAAGAAATGAAATGAAGCAAATACGAAGGCCGCCGCCTCCTATAGTACGGGTACCAAGCCGAAGATTTCAAAAACGAGTTGGTGAACCAGATGGCGCTGATGGTAACTTTATCTTTTTTTTTTTTTTTTTTTTCCCCTCTTTATGTCAAAATTTCATCGCAAGTATACCTGCATTCCTTCACGAAAGAACCGAAGTGATACCCATTTCCAGATGAACCAATTAACGCATCAATGGTCGTTCGAAACTTTTTTTTAAGGAGAACGCAATGAATAAGAAGCACGTACGCATATTTTGCTGCTGGCCTTGCTCCTAAATGTGTTCTGTCACGCACATGGGGTTGTTGACGAGTATGTTAAAAGAGAAAGTACTTTCGTCTTTAAAAAAGCCATCATTTATAGTAATAAATGCTGCTGCTAACATGTACTTAAGGCAATAATATTAAGAGAATCCTGTCAAATGTATTCAGCCTTCAAATGGTTATGTAACACTTCTTCTAGTACTCGTTTGACGAAAAGTGTTCTTTATGATTGGATGTATTCATCTTTATTTTCATATTGCAAAATTTTATATTTCATGATAGATGTTTGTCTTTTTCAATAAATACTTATTTTGGAAGACTTATTCACATCTTTCATCAGAATTCTGAATTTCATACAATCTTTACTTAAGATTTTCTAAAATATCTTACTTACTATCTTCTTAACAAGGATGCATAACTTTAGAATTTAAATAGAGAATACGGCTAAAAAATAGCTCTGCTTGCCCAGTGTGTTGCAAAATTAAATGCCATTTGGCTTAAACTCAGAAATGATAGTCAGCCTATATGGGGATGTTCAGATATTTTAAGTTTTCTCTGCCGCTAGTGAAAGCCACGCCATTATAAAAAATTAGTTCGATAAATAAACAAATAAAAGTAAATATATATATATATATATATGTATGTGTAATTTTAACATAAAAGCCCGCTGAGTACACAAGCGTATGATTGATGCATTTATAATCAGTCCTCAATCTCATGCGAGGCGAAGTACTTTGTGTGTTTTTCCTTTCTTTACGCTTTCGAATTTGGACCACCAACTGCCTACAAGTCCCTACATACCTGAAACTATCAACAGATAATCAATAGCAACCACATCTTTAAGTGATACGAGGAGCAACTTTTCGTAATAGAGATTAAATGAACATTCGGATATTTTTCTGGGTTAAGGATGGCTGTACGTTTTCCACCGTTATCTACAGTTAACCTTACGTTTGAGGTTCGGAAAAAGATAATCAATGAGCAATTATGTCCCGCAATATTCGGTGGAGACCATGATAACCAAAGAAGCGTCTGGTTACCTTGCGAAATTTGCATACTGTGTTCGCTACGTATGGCCGCACATTGTCCTGCTGGAAAATAGAATTTTGCGACTTTTGAAGATAAGGTAGTGCAACCAGCTTTAGCACATCCAGGTATCGGTGCGCCGTCATTTCCCTCTTATGCGAACAACATCATTTTCCTCTTAGTTCATAGACTATTTGATACCGATGACACACAAAACCATAATACCTGGTTGACTAGTAACGTGGCTTTCAACAAATACAATTAGATTCGCTCTTGTGACTGGTGTCGAAAACAACAAAGCACAGCCTGACTACGAGCTACTTTCGGCCAATCATCGGGAAAATGTTCATGCAGATAACAGAGCATCTAAAGCTCTTCACGTACCCCCCGCGAAAGGTACAACAGTAAAAGAATGCAGGACCGTTTTGTAACCCAAACATGTTTGTAACTTAATGTGTATTCTGGTAGTAAAAATGCTGTGAAAAAGGGGTTCCCATTAGCAGGAGAAAATTTTAAATCTATGCTCATCATATATTTTCTTCCTTTTATCTCGCTTATTAATGAAGTGACCAGTTTGAATTTTAAATCATTTGCATAGATTATGTAATTACGCAGTCTTTGCAATTCACATAATGCTACTACAAAATCTTCATGGTGTTGCATTTTCTGTGTCAAGTTTGGTTTGGTAGATTATGGCAAAGCACACTAAGGGGGATATCTTCGTGGAGAACGTTCTGAGGGAAACTGGCTCGTTTACACGTTACTCATGCGGAAAACCACGAAAACGCCTGTGCAGATACTTCGTTCGCCTTTAATCGAACGCAGGTCGAAACTACCAGTGTTCAGTGATTTTTAACGCTCGGCCGTTTGTAGACTTCTCTGTCGTGTAGTTTAACATTGATTTTAAAGGAAATTCTTTGCAAATAGGCAGCAAGGTTGTAGGATTACCCACTATATAATTCTAAGTTACAGTTGAATGGGAAAAATCTTAAGAACTAGTAAGCGAATAATCGCTTGAGTTCGTGCGATAGAAAACAACAAGTGAGAAGGGTGAAATAACCCTTTATTATTCCAACTAAAGTTTAACAGAACTCCGTCTTGGAGTTGTACAATAAAGCCGACACTCGGGCTTGAACTTAAAAGACTAAGAACTAACTAAACTAATCTTAACTAAAGAGATATATCCGAAGCTATAAAACTTCTAACGGAGTTGGCCCCCTAACGCTAATTGACCGTGAAGCTGTCAAGGGCCTAAAGTACCGCCGAGCTTAAGAGAGAGCAGTCTAAAAAGGCGGACGCATGCTAACCAGAATCTCTGGTTCTCTCTGACTAAGACAGTAGAACTTCGCGGTTAAATAGCGCTCTTCCTCGATTTGCATCCAAACGGGATTCTAAAACTACGTTCTGGCCGGAAGTGGTAAGTTGAAATTAAGAAGCGATAGGAAAGGAAGTTCAACTCAAAATTTAACTGTTAATAAAATTAACATAACCCTTACAAGGTTTCTGTTAAGTGATAATAGGGCTTCTGCAATTGTCGTTCCCATTTCAGCAGTATGCAAATACCATTATATACAATATGTAGAAATCGAACATTTTTCAAACTGAGTGAATAGCTTAAAAATGTTTACTCAACGGTAAAAGCAGTGACCGTTGTGTTAGTACCATAGTGTAAGTGGCATAACGGTAAAAGCAGTGGCCGTTGTGGTAGTACCATAGTGTAAGTGGCATATAATGGAATCTTTCATGGAAGAATTGTCAGCTTTGAGAAGAGCGGGGTAGGAATAGAAATGATACTTTGGATGTTAGTATTACTAGTCCAGAAGACTGTGAAGAATCAGGTGAATTTTCTTATTTAGTAAAATAGTAAGGACTAAATATCATCTTTGTAAGGCATTTGTTTCAAATGTTTACTATAGAATCATATTAGAATAGTTTAAGTGTTTCTTAGTAAGTCTAAACCTGTAAGTTTATATGGCGATTTCCTCTCGCACCCCTGCTGAAAAAGGGTAATATTGCTTTTAATTTTGGCTCTTAGCATGCAAAGAGAAGACGAGGTACTTTTTCTAGCGCCATGTAGCGACAACTTTTCTTTTATTTTGCAAAGTAGTCAGCTTTTTAGTTGCCTAGAATGCCTAAAGAATCCTATGAAAGACGTTGCCAATTAAGGTGATATTTTTTGGCAGTCAGTAAAGCGACTGACGATGTTATTCAAGAGTAGATCATAGCTATTGAAACATCTTTCTGTTGCCTGAGAATCAAATAAAAAAATATTTTCAAGTTTCCGTTCTAGTAAATTCTTTTAGGAGCTGCATAGATAGCTATTAGTGCAGCTTTGAAAACGAGGAGGTGGGGACAGGCCTTTATAGTCGTTACTTTCTAGCACCCTGCCTTCCAAAAGACTGTCATCTGTTAAATTTTTAAAGCAGTATCTTATTGTGCATCATCTGTTGTTCTCAAACCCAGGGACTTTAAGAGTTCTAATACATCATCTGTTTTACCAATATGAGTAATTTAGTAATGTTTTAAAAGATAATGAGTATTTCTATACTTATATATCGGAATATAGGGGAACGATTGAAATTTGTTTTTTGTAATTAAATAAGTTTTCATCCAATACAATACGGAGAGATAACAATAATTTTTATCCTTGTAAGAGATTTCCAACTCTGCATATATTCACCTGTTTTATGCTATTTGAGAGCACTGATGAAAATGAATTCCTCAAGACTTTTTTTCTTCTGAATTGAAAAGGGAATTTCTGTGCAAGCTTTGTGATGGCTGAGTAGTCGTAAGCCATAGTCTAAATTCTGCCAGTTCATAAATCTTTTATGCTCAGATCCGAATGCATAATACACATACTAGTATTGATACTATTAGTGAAGGCAAGTTAGCTGAAGATTATAAAAATCGGCAGATTCATCATTTGAAAGGGACTGCATGTTTCTCAACATTTTCTTTGGGCTTTTTTCGGCTAGTAGGCTTCTTCTGCTTTCCTTTGGGACTGGCTTAAATGAAAGTGCTTAGAGGGATAATCGAATTTTGGTAGATCTATAGGTAATACCAAGTGGGAAATTAAAGAAATTACACTTTAAAGAATGCATGGTATAAATTAAAAGAGATTGCACAGTGTCCAATGAAAAACCCTTTCGTGTAATGCTGTATTCTCCTTTTATTTATAACTGCTTTACCTGCAGTATTGTACCTAGCTCAATGATCCCTCTCATGCAGATGATTTAAATAGTTTTGTGATGCTATTAAAACAGCTATATTTTATAATGATTAGCATGAAAATATTGCCCTTTCCGACATTTTGAGGTTGCACGAGGATTGTAAAAAAGGAAACAGAAATCTTTCTAAGATAAAATTCTGTACAGGACACTTTAACGTAATTCAAGTCAGTAGAAAAGAAACAAACGTAGTGCTTCTGTTGCGTGTCATTATTTTAACACAGAGAAATGCGACTGTTTTTAATCTTAAAACTAATATACGCATCGGCTGCATAATAAATGAGATACTACAAAATGAAGCGCGAATCCGTTTTTTCTCTGTTATTTAAGACCGAACTCATAAATTATAAAAATGGCTTAAATGTGATACTGTACCATTAAACTGGCACACCCTCCATCTGCAGTTTTTTTATCTGAAACGTCTGCGGCTTTCAGTTTGTCTGAGTTTCGTTATCCGAATTAGTATCTTACTTCAGACGATTAAAGTTTTGTTTTATAAGAAGCAGCCAATCAAATAAATTAAATTATTTTATTGTTAATTTATTTCATTAAATATAAAGATCGCTTTTAAATAAAATTCATCTGAAAAACAAAGAATAATTTTTTTTTCAGCGGATGTCGAGGAGAAAGAAGTCTTTAAAAAGAGTATTTTATATGACACTAAAGATGACTTGGCATTATCTCAGTTGGCTTGCCCGTAAGTATAAAATTAGATCTTATGTATCTTATAAATATTAGCAATGCTGCTGAATGATTTAATTTTGTTCTGGTTAATTAATATCAGCATAATCATTTGTTCTTTTAAAATGAGGCGAAAGAGGAACCATTTATTGACGAAGATTTTAAGTAAATAAATCCATTGTAAGGTTGCTTTTTTTGTTTAATTTTACATTAGCGTGTTTCTTTTCCAGTCAGACAGCTGATCTTTCACAAGCTAGAGCAGTATTCCGATTTAAATTCAGAATGTACTCCTGGAAAAATTTTAAATGAAAACGACTGATAAATGAAGCAGAGTAAAATGGAATCATTTTAATACTTGTTAAACAGGAATAAGTTAATATGTGATTACACATAATTGAGGCATGTTCGGATGGATGATCATAGTCAGTATTTTATCTTTAATCGCCTGTTATTTTTATTTTTTTCATAGTGTTTTCACACTGCTTCAGATTCGAACATATTAATACTATTAAAAATCTGCGCGCGTCTGTATGTTTGTTAGTAGCCATCGTCTTCTCTGGAAAGGCGGGGAGTTGGGCTTCGAAAGAGACAACGCCGGATTCCAAGAATTCGTGGGAAGCAATTTCGACCAGTCTCAAATTCGCACAACTTTAATCAGCCGAGGTATTAATTAAAAACTCTCGCAAAGCTAATTTTTCACCCTGCAAGTTGCTTTATTCCCTGAACTTTATTTGCTGTTCGGCGTACTGCGTCGAAGCATGTACGAGTTGGAAATTTAAAATTGCCATCTGTTTTTACCAAACGAAGTAAAGTAAAAATTTTTTATAGAAGCAGGCAGCGCATTTATTCCGCGTGTCACTTTTTCTCTGTTTTTTGACAGTGATGTTTTTTAGGAAATTTGCTTAACTGAGGTTAGTCAAGCCAACATAAAGCTGAAACACTGAGATTTTGGCAAGACGAAGTGAATCAAGCCAACATAAAACTGAAACAGCTTCAGATTTTTGCAAGACTAGGACCAAACTAAATAAAAAAAAATATATATATATATATATAAAAAATAAATAATAAATAAATTTTTAAAAAAATCTGAAAGATTTCAGATCTTAAATTACGTTCAAAGCGGCGATTTTTTAACGTTTTGTTACCTTTATTTATTAAATACCACGTTCTTTGCACTTAAACCGTAAAATTCAGTTCAGTGTAGCAATGTCGCAAAATAATTTTAAAATGAGCATATCTTTAGAATTTCAGATACACAGTCTCGCTCTCTGGAGATAAAAAAATGTTTTCTGTACAACGTTGTCATTGCTCGCTTTTAAATTGTTGAGTTTGTTAATCAAAAATTCGTAAAGTTTTACAAAATATGAAATCGATCATAAAACAAATTCCAAATTTCAAATTTGATCTTCTACATGCCCATATTCGTAGGAGGATAACGTCATTCAAAATTCGATGGCTCTATGTACCGTTGTTTTATCACAATGGGAGAAATATACATACATTTATGCAGATTTTTCATTATTTAATTTCTTCAAATATATTACAAGACTCTAACATTTGGTGGCAACAGTTTAAAAAGTGGAACGGACGTTTATAGTGATTCAACACAAAATCGCAAAACGAAGATAATTGTCCTTCAGGGACAAAGCCTCTTTGGACTTAAAAAAAAAAAAAAAAAAAAAAAAAAAAAAAAAAAAAAAAAAAAAAATGTCAAGTCAAGATGAAGTTGATGTAGTTTGGAAATATAAGAACATTATTCATTCAGATTTAAAAAAATTCAGGCGCATACAGAACTGATTTCATTCATATTGAAATATTTTTATACATTTTCTTTTCATGTGTACATAGAACTTGTAAATTTTGCTTTGACTGCAGTCCGCTTATCTGGGGGACTTGACCGTTATTATAAAATAAAATTGGGCACATATCTATGATTAAAATTTCTCACAATTAGGTATCGAACTGACATCTATAAATAACAAGGAAACTAATTTTTAAAAGATGATTTATTTTGATAAATTACTCATCAAATTAGTCAGTTAAAATAAAGCAAAGAATGTCATTGGTACTGTGTTCATTTTCCCGAGTTGCATTCAGTAAGACATTATATATTACTGCACAAATACAAATTCATGAAAATTTCATTCATTACTTTCATCTACTAATACTGCTAGAAACAATTTCTGCTAAATTATCTTTACGGAATATATGTTAATGGAAGGATATATACGCTTCAACCTTGTCTTCTGTATTCCAGTTAATTTTGCTGTGATTACTTCGACGTGAAATATTAATCTGTGAAGAAAAAAATGCAGATTCAGTCAAAAAACGTTTTCAGCTGTTTATCAATAAAATGTTTACTAAACATCTTGCATTTATAGTTTAAATAATCGCTTACTATTAACTATAATTAGCATTTTAAGCTTTGCCCGTTAATTTTGTTTGTACAAATGTATCCTGAGAATTTATTTTTCTTATTTTAAAAGTTTCTTCTTATTTTAAAAGAGGGGGAGGTAAAACTCCCCCTCTTCTTTTAAGTTTGATTCTAATATTACAAAGGGTAAAAATGATTAGGAAAAAGAGAGAAAGACCCCCCTCCCAAAAAAAGGTAGTGTTTAAATGAAGACACAAGTTGTAAACAAAAAGAACTGAATTTATCATACATATAACATGAATTAAACGATAGAAACAAGCAATGCGCTGCAGCTAGAAAATTAAACTTAAATAATTCTTAAAATATACGGGCAAAATACCAGCCTACAGTTTAACGGGTTAAGAGCTCGTTTTTCTAGGTATAAATTAAACTACCAATAAGTGAAACTTAAATAAAAATAATCAGTCAGCAAAAAAAAAAAAAAAAAAGTCTGTGCATAATGCTATGCAAGGCTATTATTTTATTTACGACGAAAACAAAATCTGTTCCTACAAATTTAGACACTTACTTTCTTAAGAATAACACTTCAAAAACTGATGTTGCTGGCACATCTAACATGCCAACTCCTCCACCTCTCATACAGCTGAAGTTCCCTCCCCCAAACCATGTAATGATCTGCCAGCCTCATCCTCGCCCCTTCCATACATGTCTCAAATCTAAGGTGTACTTTAAAGTACTAAAATAGTTCTTTATTTATTCGTAATTTTTGTATTCATTGTGTACTGTATTTAAAATTTAAAATATATTACTTTTTTGCTTTAGTATTTTTAATTATTTATTTGTTAGAATTTATGAACTCGTATCTCACGAGTTTCGTTAGGAGCGAATACATATTTACGTAGTACACATTTTACGACAATATTTTACGAACATATTCGGGAATAAAATGGTAGGCAATTCGAATGAGAATATTTCAAACCTGCATTAAAATTAATTAGAATTTTCTATGTATTGTTGTTATATAGGACACCTTTGTATAGATCGGTATCAACACCTGCTGTTCTGTCAGCACTGGAGCAGCAAAATAACTCTGATGATATACCGCCATGGGAGAACCCAAATCAAAGGTAAAGATTTCATTAACAATTTTATGAAATCACAAGAGTTAAAAGACATTAAACGAACTGTATTTTGTTGTCTAGAAGGAATAGCCCTTATATGTAATTTTATCCCTTGTAATGTATTTTCTCTAATGGTATGAAGTAAGTGATGGCGATAAACATTCGGTGTTTTTTTACCACATTGTTTTGAGTATGTTCTATTATGAATTGGTCATTTGTAAGCATAAGAATTACCATTTATTTATCAAAAAGAAAAAACAGTTCAAGGACATACTTTCTACATTAGCGACCGGTGGTTTGGTGTCTGTTAAAGGGGCAAAAAGTTAATCCACGAACGGTTATGATAGCTTCAGCAACGAAGAATTTTCAAAAAGTAACATTTTCCCGTAAATATTTAAATGCTGCGGTGCATAGCTCATGTAAATACAAGAAATAGGACAGAAAACAAGTATATACACCGTCTCCATAAAAGTCCTTACCTGGCCTTTATTTTCGCCGCCGTTGGTCGTAGATGTAGAGTTCCAGTTACAAAAATGTTTTAATGATGCAAAGATTCATGTTTGGGCGTTTTTAGACATCATTTCTGTAAATGTTACGAAATCTAACTTTTTTACTTTCCTCCGGTACATGTACTCATGTTTCGAAAAATTTTGTACTAGCTATAAAAAATAAAACACAAAAGGTTTGACTTCCTGTACGACAAAAATTAACCAGATATTTAATTTCAAGTCTGCGATTTTTGGCTTCGTATTCAGTTTGCACTGATATTTAGTTTAGTAAATAAATTAGGACAAATCGATGCTGATTTTTTCTTCTCCCTTAAATGCCATCCATTGATACTGTTTTAAGATTAACTTTATTTTATAATTTCATTATTTATATGAATTCATTATTTATTTATATGAATTCATTATTTATTTATATGCGGAAAAAATTTTCACCCGAATAATTTATAAATTTTCACAATCTAAAAATGCATTTTCAGTAGTCTCATAAAATTTTATTACTTTAAAATAATAATCTCGTAACCGTACAAAATATTCATTAAAGTACAAATCTTTTTCATTTTTAATTAATGCAAGTAATATTACGATTTTGCTACATGCCAGTATTGAACCTTGCCAGTGTTTTTTAGAACACGAATTCTATAAGATACTGTGAATGATATGTTTATTTTGAAAGAAAATTATATTGATCAATATTTTTACAGTAATCTGCATAGATATGCTTGTCACGAAATCTCTTAACATAAGAAACGGCTGGGAAAATAAAGGGCGGGTAAGGACTGTTGTGGAAATGATATATATATATTGACATAAAAGGACAAAATAATATTTAGGAGATACAGTTTTGTGATTTGTCTCTATGTTAGAAATCTATCGTCAATTTCTTCTGCTCAGTAAGTGTACAATTTCTGTTGCTAGAATATGTTCTCTGTCATCTCTCTTCATCTCGTATTGCAATGAGTGATCTAATGGGATTAATTTTTATAGCTATAATTATACAGTCTTTTATCTGAATGTCCTTCAAATCGGAACCAAGCTACGCCACTGGCATCATTAAGAAAAAGGACATTTTTTGAGCCATAGTCAACTATAGGCTACCCGTGGAATGTCCAAGTATCCACTGAAAAAAAAAAAAGAGAGAGAGAGAGAGAGAAACAGGGGGGAAAAATCCAGAATGTCCTTTCCCTTTCAGTTCTAGTATATTTTTAGCCATTCTGAGTGAGATGTATAAAGTGTGCATTACACCTTTCAGAAATCACAATTACCACGTTTATACTCGTATAAAAACGCATTTACAAATCGGAAATATATAGAGACTTTACACATTCAAATACCGATTAATCAGGTCCTAGTTTAAAATAAAAAAAAATCTGATGTGTACACCACATGACTTCCTTGTACGGAATATTAAATTATACGCATTTTTTCTTGCATTTTATTTAAACTTATTAGATTGAATTAAACCTACTTCGCCGACAGCGCATAAACCACAATAGAATAAATGCATTCTTTAAATTTCACTTTGTTTACCATAGCGACACTCTGGCGCTAGGTTTACTTAACAGTATTATATTTCATTCATACTCGTATTATAACTCAGAATGCACAAAATGTATATCATTTAAAGAATTATCTAATCGTTGCCACATATTCTATTCAAATACTATAATAAAACTAGAACTATGTGTAAAAGAAATTAAGCAAATAAAAAAAAAAAAAAAAAAAAAAGAAAAGAAAGAAACAGTTTTTCACAGACGATTGAGTATTTCTCATTTAATTAATTCAGTTCTTACCTCGCGAGAAGGCAAAAATACATAAAAACTCAAAATGTCTATATTAAAAATTACGAAGTAAATCTCAAACGCTTATTTCCTCGAAAAAATTCCAGAAAGAATTAAGCATGATTTAATTGGCAATAACAAATGAATGCGTTATCTTTGTTGTTGCAAAGCTAAGTTTCTCTAGATTGGGAACAAATCCACTAGTCTCCTGTTTCAAATGTACACATCAATGGCCGCCATTAAAAACAGGCTTAGCGGCAATTAAACAACTTTAAAATTGCTGATAATTCTAAAAATATTTCACACAGATTTACTAAAGGCATAAAATCCTTAACCGGAAGATAAAAACAATTTAATTCAATCATTTTTTAAAGGAAAAAATGTGCAATTTACAAACATATAAGAGTAAAGAAAGTGAGATCACTGAGCCGGGTAATAGAGTCGATATATATATATAAATATATTTATATACGTTCGGTGCGGCCGATTGCAACCAAAATACGAGGTGCACATCTACATGTTATAGCAGTCCTATATACAAAATTTCAACGTTCTGAGGCTACTCGTTTTTGAGTTATGCGAGATACGTACATACGCACGTACGTACATACGTTCGTACAGACGCCACGAAAAATTCTCTTCAGAATTACATTTTTAAAGCAGTTTTATAATTTTTTTGGAAGGAAAAGAGTATTTTATTCTGTCCTTACGTACAGATATCACTCAAAAACATCGTTAAATTGCATTCGATAGCGGTCAACATGGATCTTTTCGTTGAAATATGCTGCCTGAAACTTTTCGCGATTACAATACTTCCTTTTTACTTCGTACAAGGAAGTAAAAAAGGAACTTAGACTTATTAATTGCGGAATGATAAGCAAAACTTTACTGTCATTATTTGATGCTTTTCCATTTCGGTTAATTCCTCAAGAATTTCATTATATTTGATTTCGACATGGCAGAAACACACTGTTTCTAATTCTCATTAGTTAGTTAATTACCGTGTTTCCTCCCACATTTCCTCCTCTCGCGGATTTTCTCCCTAGCCTTTTAGCGCTAGGTTCAGAAAATTTTTTAAATATTCTCATAATTTTCTCCTTTCTCATTGCGATCAGAGAACGCGTTCCCCTGAATTTTAGATTGGGTTTGTCCACATAGTGATTGTTTTCGTTTTACTGGTATAAACCCTCGCAAACTACCTTCAAAAGTCATGCTGAACCTTTTCCTTCTAATTATTGAACTTTATGACAGCCTAACACAACAACTGATCAGTCACAACGAAGCAAATTATTCTGGGATTCCACTCAGCTACACATTCACCTTCTATAATTATTTATGGATGATAGTCTAAGGACAACAGAGACAACAATAAGAACGCGCGAGATTCTTCAAGTTACTGGGAAGTAGAAATGAAGATGTCTTATTAAATATTAAAATATTAATATTACTATGTAGTCTTAATGTAATGTGGATTTTTTAAAATACATAATACTATGATAGTTATCTGAAGTTTGTCCATGACTACGTTTTATTTTTTATGTTCTCACGGTAACCGCCTCCGGAAATTAAATTATTCGGATAATTTTCTCCTCTCGATTTTCGGAGGATAAAATTAGTTAAAAAAAGTGTAAATATGGTATATATGACGGGATAAATGGTGAATATTCTATGAAATCTTCAAAAGTATGATTAAAATAGAAAGGCATGTCAAGGAAACAAAAATGAAAGAAAAATATGCTAGCATTATAATTTTAAAATATATTTTTAAAGAAAAATGTTAAGTCTATTTTAAATTCTATTTTCAGTAACAAAAAACAATGAAGAAAAGACAGAAATAGTGTTGCTAGGGCTGTATGTTATAGTTTTTTTTTTCTCCTACTTTGTTTATTTTGATCTGAAACTATTTGTACACTTTCTTTCTGCTTTACGAAGACAACTAAATTTTTTAAGTCTTTTCATCTTTGAAGTATTCACTTTTTCTCCATAGTTACTGGTCCAAAATCGTGCATAACTGTTATTTCTGTGTAGGGGATTATTTTCAAGTCGGCAGTCCTTAGCATCATCCAGAGGCTCAGAAAGAAAATCCAGTCATCGATGCCATCACAAAAGATCTAGTTCCATAGACAGTCATACAAGCAATGATTCACGAAGGAGGAGGTAATAATCCCATTGCTATGAATTATTTGTAATTTCAATTATGAACTTTAATATTTATAATTATTTCATATTATCCTCCTTTTAAAAATGCATAAACCTGTAGGAAAAGGCTAAAATTACTATATGCATTTGAATTTTTATTAATCCCATGATACACTTCAATTTGTTACTTAAGTTTATCTAATATTTCTCATGTACTTGGATAGCTAATAACCAACTCCTGCTTAGGTTCTCTATGCTCGGGAATATTTTTTCGCTAACAAATTTTTGCCTCAGAAAGACAAAAGAGAGGCTAAATTTAACAGGAGGCAATGCTAGTACCTGAAATCTCTGATTACACAACTGTCATATCCTTCTTCTTGGGCATGTAGATTCTGGATATGTATTTAATTCCTACCGTAGACGTATTGTAATGTGGGCATTGCATAAACCAGCCATTTTAACGGCACAAAACTTTATTAACACACAAATAAAATAATAAGTACAAACGATTAACACACAAGTATAACTGCGTATTTTGCATCCAAGCTGAAGTACAGCACGTTACATTCGTTACTTCTCTACTACCTACTAACTACTTTTCTCTAGTCAGTCTCATGAGAGAGAGGCGTTGCAGGCCGTTCGGCTAAACTGCGCATGCGTGGTCATCACGTCATGACAACAACCTTATAATAAATTCCAATTTAAACACAACAACTGATGAACATTAATTATTTACAATCACAATTGGTCCTATTCAGAAATCTAGCATGTATGTCTTTAAGCTGAACAGATTTTTATCTGAATCTCACATTTAAATAAGAATAAATCAAGTCTCATCAGGCAAATCGCCAAGCTTCTGTTAAACTACTTTACTCTCTAAATTTTACATATAAATAGCAGTTGCTGGAAGATAATGTGAAATAGCAATACTGTCTTTTCACAGTAAACGCATTAATGCTAGCTTGTTATAATAATTACACAGAACTTATATTTTAAGATCAGGCGGTGGCCTCTTCACAGTTAAGCCTCGGAACTCCAGTACTATTCTCCGTGACAAAAGCAAGCATCAACGAAAGCACACCTGACTATTAAAAAAGTTGTATTTGCCAAATATGGTGGATAGATAGAGGGGGGATTTATGAAGTCATCCCATTTGCAATCGCGAAAGGCTACCCGTTTAAAGGAAATGGCAAACACACACTTTTAAGACAAGAGACACCCGAAATGTCATGTGGAAAGGCCCCTTACTTTGCTGATTAGCCAGTGTGGACAGATGTGGTCTGAAAAACAGGTTTTTAATGAAGGTAATGATAAAGCTAGAATTAAGCAATCAACATGTATGTCTTAACATGTTCTTCTTTATCTTTTTTATAACTATGCCCTGTGGACTGTTCTCTTCTGCACAAGGAACAGCTTAATTGGAATTGAAACTCATTGGCCAAATTTAATATTTTAAACTCCCAGCTCTGGTTAACGCTTGAATTAAATATGTTAAACTAAGATAAAACTTTTTAGGCACTTTCTATGATTCCGAGATAACATAAGTGATTAGCAATAACTTTAAAACTAAATAAACCTTATTTATTCAAAAGCTTATTTATTGTATTTCTTTCACTTTTCAGTAAGCATCATCGTTGCAAAAGAAGTTCTGACAATGAAAGCGATATCTCCAAATCATCAAGGGGCTCTAGAGGTTCAAGATCTTCGAGAAACGGTAGTTCTCACAGGAAAACTAGGTAGGTTTGTTTCTTAATTTAATGGTTTCAGGGTTATAAATCGTGAAATGAACTGTACTAATTTTTGTACATCCATTCCCCTAAATTACACCTGATGATTTGGAAATGCTTACTGGAATACAGTATTATTTGTGCTTGCCGTTGCGCCGTTCTGTTGAAACCAAATTGTATCCACCAACTTCCTTGCCCATAGTTCTGGAGATCTTCATTATCCCGCCGCAATACTTGCTGAGCGTGTGTAATACAGCACGTTTGATTGATAACTTCTATTACCACAGTACACAACTGTACTGGCCAATGGTCTATGGCAGGTGATTCCAACCCTATGCCCTCAGGTACCAAAGCGCCCGCGATCGTTTAACACAGCGCCCGCCGCTGTGTGATCACAATATTTTTTTTTTTCCAATAAAGTTTTCTCACTTTTAATGAAATAGAAATTGCGTCAGATAGCATAAAGTGAAATGCGACCGATTTCTTTTTCAACTATAAATTCCCCTTGAAAACGTAAATGGTGCCCCGCCCCCCGTCCAACAGATTCTAGTTATTGTGTATAAAGTTGTTGTTACTTATGCTCACTTATCTGGCAGGAACATCAGCCCAAGCCCACGAAAATCCTCGTGGCAAGGAGCGCTCAAAATATGGCAAAGAGCGCTCAAGATAAGATATGCCGTTGGCAACAGCCTTGAGCACTTTACGGGTGACAATGAGATTTTGCTCAGCTCCGCCCCCTGTTTTAATGAAGAACGCCCCGGGGAAGACGGGTCCGAGGGTCTCCCACTTCTCTCCTCTTCCATGAAACCACACGAAAGCACTTTCGGCTCACTACATATTTAGAGTGCCGCCCTGCTACACCTACACTATGCATTTACAAACATCCATGCTTTCTCCGGGACTCGAACCCAAGCCCTTCGGCACGGGAGTCAGAGACGCTAACCAGTATACCAGTTGCGCGATATTCTAGAATGTGCTCTTAGGGATGAAAAGGGTGAGGACCCCTGGTCTATGGTATACTAATTGCTGTGATTCCAACTATCTATTGACGTAGGTATGTCACATGCAGTCCACCTTTTAATACCATTTTTTTAATTTTCATGTTTGATTCGTTACCCTTCATAGCTGTGATGTTTGCATCGTAGATTTAGAAGTCATATGCTGAAAATGAGCGAGTATGGTGCAAATGAGTATGGTATTACTCGTTTTCTATTACAGGCAGTAAGCTTCAGCATACCCTCATAAAACATCTTCTAACTATAATAATGAAAAGAAATCACATTTTTATTTATGTTGAACTTTATTAAAATCCTTTTGTTACTTTCCTAAAACCATCATGAAATTTTAATCTGTTGAAAAAAATCTCATTGATCACGATCATCTTACCAGATGCCACGCTCGCTTTCTGTTAAGCTTACAGACGCAAAGAAAGTGTCGATGTAAGATCGGTTGTTGTGTGATAAGCTTCGAACGTTTGATGTTTAATTTACATTGTTTATATTTAAGTTCCTTGAAATATCGTAAGAATCTTTTAAAAATAATCGTATTAAAAATTTTTATTTGGACATTTAGAAGCCACAGTCGTGAAAGTGGAAGTGATTCAGACTGTCATCACAGAAGCAGACGGAGAAAGCACAGGTAAATGTAAATTCTTTTTTAAAGTAGAGATTTTTTGTTCGCGCCATATGTTATCCTAATTTTAGATAATTGTTTTATTTGCAGCAGCCGTAGATCTGGTAGCAATTATAATCTCGTCGACTCGGAAACTCAATGGAAAATGGTTCAAAAACAACAGCGCGAGAAAGATCATGCAAGGTACCGTTCCGTTTACATTATTTTACAGTTTGGTATAATTATCAATATTAAAAATGCCTACATCGTTCTCTTTTTAAAATTTTGAACCATTACAGTATGTCATACTATGAGATATTTTATCTTTGAAGAAACCTAGGAAGCATTACCGTCATCTTTAATGTGCTCATCGAATACCCAATTCTCAAAGCCATTATATGTTCCATAAGATTTTTACCTTTCAGTTAACATATATATGTGCATGTGTTGTATATAATTATGTAATAAAACGTGCAATTTAAAAGTAATAAATTTTGCTAATAATTTTAAATACAAGCAATCAATAAAATTTTTAATATACTTATTTTGCAATATTTCCAACCAATAAGATTTTAAACATTTGCAACATCGATATAACTAATGAAAGCAATTTATGATGCTATCTTTTTAAATATCTCAGTCAAAATAGTTTGATTTAATAATATTTTTCACGAATATGAGACTACACAGATAACCTCATACAACGGAATTCTTAACCCGGTAACTAATTCAAACGAGTGCTTGTTATCATATAAAAAGGGGCTTCTTGTTTAACTACTACTATATATTGCAGTTGTACTGGAATCACAATTCAAATTAAAAAAACAGCTACTGGTGTATATTTTTGTAAAAAAACTCTTTCCAAAAGAAAAATTATTGATAAAGAACGTGCTTTATTCAAGTCTGAAAATAGTTCTTAAATTTCATTATTATTCAACATTACTTTGTTGTGTAGTCAATTTAGTTTTTTATTATTTTTCATACTTTTCAGCAGTTATGTTAACTACAATATTTATGGCAAATATAATTTTCAATATTTCAAATGTTATATATTTGAGTTATGTTGTATAACCCATATCAAATGGGCCCACTATAGCCAGTATCACTATAGGTGCGTCAGAAATTTAATATTCCCACTACTGGAACGCAAAGAAATTAAAATATTTGTTAAATTATGGACGTAACTTTAAGCATCTTGTATGCGATTTCATGTGATATTTATATATAGATATAAGGGTTTAGATGACGATAAAAAATTTAAATTGAAGTTTCGATGATAATAGATTGATTCAATGTTAAGTAGCCCACTGCTTGTACATTTACCCTAGTAGCTTTCTCTGTTTCAAGTAAGACGCTAGTTCTGAGCCTATCGCTCATTGCGTGTATAATTTTGTTTCTGTCAAAATTTTGCGAAAACCTTACAAATGCATGAGTTAACGATCTCATTTCCTAATGATGAAAGACAATAAGTACACTGCGCAGAAAAAAAGGGGGGATGGGAAACTTCTATATCTCCCATTTTAATGGGCCGATTGACGAAATTCAAATTGCGTTTTTCATGTCTCGAAAGCGTGACTTAAGATGTATATTAGATTTATATACAGCATTGTTCTAACATAGGGAGTTTGACACAAAATTCGGACCTTTTTCTGAAGTAACATATCAATTTTTTTTCGATATTTCGACTCTACGACTCAAATTGTGCATAAATATTAAATTTTGTAAAATTCGGTGCGATATTTAGGGAGAAATTAAAAAATTTATCTTGGCGCATTTTTTTCAGTTTGCGCCAAGAATAATTCACTTGGCGAACTTCTTAATATGTGGCAACCTAGTTTCCTTTCCCTTTCATTGTGCAGGAGCGGGAAAAAATTCACATCATTCCTACCATTTTACATTGTGCATGAGCGGAAAAAAGTCACACCATTCCTACTTTAAGAAATTTCCTACTTTAAGAATTTTAATTTTAAGAAAGTGCCTAAACTACATTTGATGTTATCGATTTCAAATATACCGAATTTCAAAATGCGCCAATATATACTCGTATATTCACGTATATCTTCCGAAATTTTGAAGAAAAAACTGTAATTTTTTGCAGGTATGCTTAGAAATGCATCTACTTTAAGATGAGGTTAAAAATTTTATAGAATATAATTCAAAATTTTTTTTCGAAAAATTTATAAATATTATATAAAAACAGAAATTTTAAAAATAAATCATAAAAATGAGAGAAATTTATTTGGAATGAATCTAAATTTCGAAATGCGAAAGGAAGAGTCAAATAAGTTTAATAAAAAAGTGATATTAATAAATAGTATATACCAAACTCAATTAACATGGAGGAGCTAAAATTTTGAGAGCTTATATTTTAAAAACTACTCATGCGATTCTTACAAAACTTGGCAGTTTATAGTAATTTGAGTCGTAGAATTAAAATATGGAAAAAAATTGGCATGTCATTTCAGAAAAAGTCGGATTTCATGTCAAAATACTTATATTAGAACAATGCTATATATAAATCTAATACATATTATAAGTCATGCTTTCGAAACATGAAAAACGCAAGTTGAATTTTGTCAATCGGCCTAGTAGAACGGTAGATATAGAACTGTCCTTGTTCCCCTCCCCGCAGTGTACCTTGGATTAACAAGGTCTACTTGTCTTTCCGTTGGGCCATTGCTGGAACAATAAATTCTAACAGAATAAAAAGCTCAAATATTATATTCCCTCATTTATACTTATTAACTTTATAAAGTGTAAGATCTTATATCGTAATCTATTTTTTACCTTATTTTCTCCTCAACCTATTGCCTTCGTAACTAGCTAATGTCTAATTGAACTCAAATAAGATTTATTTGCCACGACTTGTAATAAACTTTAACAATAATTTGTACACCACTGTTTAAGGAGTCTGAAAGTAATACAGGTATTTAAAACGATAAGAACGCAATTATGATTTCCTCCCAAAAAGTCGGCTTTACAAATATATTAGCTTTAAGCAAACCATAGTAAAAATTGCTCAACCTGTCTGGCGTACAATAGCTAGCAGTGGCACGGCTCTGAGAAGAAATAGCTAACTGGGGGTATACTTTATAATTCAACGCTTTTACTTGCTATTTAAACTTCATCTGATTTCTAGTAATGGTCAGAGGAAGGAAATAGTAGGTACAGAAAGAATCAATATAAAATAGCATTTTAGTGATATTTAGTTTCACAACTTTGTTTGTGATGGAATTCACCTATGCCGATATCGTAAATTATAGCAAAATTTCCGAAAATATTTGTTTTATATCTTTATATATTTCAGACTTCAGAATGCTGTTGTAAGAGACCTGTCTAACAGAAAGAGTGGGTATGTTGAATATCTTGTTCTTTTATCCTTTTGCTAAAACTTTTATAAACACAATGTAATGTAATGTTTAGTAATGTATATAAATATACATTAATACTCTATAGTACAGTTTTACATACATTAAAGTAGGAAGAGATTGACAAAATTTTTTCATTACGATTGTTATTACTTTCTTACGCCTAGTAAGTGATGGTTTTTAAATCTGTACGAAGATAGCTGGCATGTGTAAGTGGATTATAAGAACGTCCCCCTTAAAGCAATCATAATTTTCCATTTCTGATCGTTATAACCATGTTTGACAGAATTAATGACTTAAAAGTATTCTTAAATTATCAAAATTCTTAAGCATGTGTCGGAATTAGACTGCTGCAGGATCATGGCCTATCGATACTGCGGTTAATCATTCCGCAACATTGCTCCTCGTATTGTTCGGGATCCCATGACTGTCAGGCGAATATGGAATCTATGAGTTCAGGAGGGCTATACCAGTGTTTCCCAACCTTTTTTGTGCTATGCCCCACCTAATCCTCTCTAAAAGTTTTAAGCTCTCCCTAGCATATACATAATTTTCAATATTTAATAACTGAAATTTTCACGAAAGAAACTTGAATGATAGCTTTTAGGCAGAAATGACTACGAAATTTTGTGAGCAAACACAGTAAGTGAACTTTCAAAACATGAAGAACTGAAATTCAAGAAAAAACTCATTTTAGTGAAAGTTTTTTATTTTAAGTATTAGTAATAAATTTAGAGAGTTCCTTACGCTTGATACTTGCTGCAAAGAAATTTTATGTCAGATTCCAATTTAGATAACTTGAGTCTCAAGTCTCCCGGTTTCCTTATATCCAACCGCTGTCTTTCTTTCTTTCTTTTTTTTTTTTTTTTAAAGCAGCATATCATTTATGACACTAAATCCGCATTCAGCAAAATATGAAGATGGAAACGGTAACAATAGTTCTCTTGCAAATTTTGTTGCATTTGGATATCTGATTCTGGTTTCCTCACAAAGCTATGTCATCACTCCTTTTATATTAAATAAAGTTTTAATTGACTCATCATTTTGCATATCTGCGAATTCTTCTTTTTACTGCATATTTGAAATATCAGCCAAATCCACTAGCATTGGCTGCATCATCCAAGTTGGAAAATCAACTTGTTTTAAGTTACAAAATCTTTTAAATCAGCCGATAAAATTTTCAGATGATCGACAATAACAAGTATAGCGGTATCAATAACAAGTATAACAGTAGTCACGTCACATTTTTGGAGCCAATGAGACTTTTCAAACTTTTTGTGGTAAATAGTATATGTCTGACATAATTCAACAAAGATAATGAAACCAAATATCTTCCTTTTGCTTCGTAAGTTTTATTTTCTCCTTGAAGTTGTTTATTTAATATATTTAATTTTTCAAAGATATAGGCTAAATAACTCACAATAGCCTTGTAATCATCCGTTAACGGATTTTTCATTTCAGGCTTGTCGTTTAAAAAAATAATTAAAAGTATTAAATAGTTCCATAAATCTTTCCAAGCCAGTTCCCTTTCAACAGCCTTCTTACTTCAGTGGGAAGTACAAGTCTCATATAGTCTTCATTTTGTTCTTTATAAAATAACTTGAAAAGACGTTCACATTTGGCCCTAGCTTTAATAGCATTTATGCACTTTATAACTGAATTTAGTACTTCATTTAGAACAGGCGAATTGTTTTTAGCTACCAGGTTTTCTCTGTGAATAACACAATGCACAAGAAGCATTTCTGGATTCTCATCTTTATCAGTTTTAAGCACCCTTTTTCTTATTCCGTGCTTTATTTTATTTTCAAATCATAATTAGGAGCACATCTGCAGTATAAGATGTTTAATATTTTGTATATTTTTTATATCTAAGTAATGTTTTAGCTTACTATACAATCTTTGGAGGTAGTGGTGCTTTCTAATGATTTACAGAACAATTTCTTCGGCAAAATCCCCTTTATGAATATATCTTACCAAGTTACAAGTACGGCCTCACTGTCTCTCAAGTTGGTTCATCCCTTTGCACCGAAAATTTCTTGTTTTCAGCTTTTCAAGAAGTTGTTCAATATCCTCACTCATTTGATCTTTCTTCTGCAAACAGTATTGTTTTAGTGGCATAGCTTTAACGTCTTTGTCCTCTTTTGTCTAGAACCGTTTTTTAAAATGCTGATATTGATGGTTTGATTAAATTCTCCCCTATAGTACGTCTTTTCCCAGATTAAGCGATGAGTAATGAAATTTGATGAATAGCCTTAAAAGCACGATTAACAGTTGCATTATGAGCAGTAAATAAACACTTTAATATTACTCTTTTTTCAAAAATTTTCCTTAAAGTGTGAAAATAATTCAAATTTGAATTAATATCAGCATTATGTTTCGCCTTCAAATGTGCCTCAAGACGATCTAGTTTCATTGATTTGTTGATCAGGCATTATTGGCATAAAAGGACAAAAGTTGACTGTTTATGGACCGGGTATGAAACCAAATTTTAAATATGCCTCCGAATACTGACGAAAGTTTTTTCTTGCTTGCACCCCTCATTCACTAATGGCTGCAAAAAATAAATATAAGATCAATAGAAACAAAGCTGAAAGCAGCTACTGTTGCCATTCAAGGAAAGAATAATATACCGGTTGCCATTCCTACAGTAAAAAATAAAATAAATTCTTGACTGAAAATGTGGCGAGAAACGTTTGGAAAGCATAATGTGTCAGTTATTTAAATGCCTTTAAAAAGCATTTAATGTCATGTCCTACAGCGGAGAATTTTTATAAAATTTTTAAAATGCACCGCAATTTAAAAACTTTTTTACGCATACATCACTTACATTTTTCACATTTTTCTTTATTTTGGGGAATAAAAAATGAAATTTTGAAAAATTTTGACTTCATGAAACATATTTAGAACGTCCCTTGTCCCTTTTGAACGTCTTTTGTCCCCTTAAACTCTGGACGAGTCCATTTTCGAATTGTCCCCTTGTGGGGCGTGGGCCCCACGTTGGGAAACACGGGGCTATACTGAACGCTGCAGAAGATCTCAGGCCTTGGGGCGTCTAATGCCAGAGAGGACAGGCATGTTGTTCTCTTGAGGGACTACACAGTCATGTCACTTAACCTGAGTTAGGAACTTGGCTTGTGGGCAGAACAAGTGTCGGTATGGACAGTGCAATGATATGTGTAGCATCATGGACTCTCAGCGCGGCGACCATTTATGACGCTGCAGCAGAGACAGTAGTACGACGAACCTAAGATCACGTTGTCTTCTCATATGAATCTAGAAGCGCCAAGGAGAATGAATATTGCCAGCTTTCATTCGTCATGGGTGTTCGACTGTTGACCTATCCGGCACTTTCTCCAGATCACTCACCACTGAGAATAACTGGTGATTTATTGCGGAGAAACTGACAAACTACTACGACTGAAAATCTCTGACAGAAGCTGCATATATTGGAGTACCCATATCTGCAAGCCAAGTTCATTTCGACTCGATATTACAGCCACTGTTGCTGTCAGAAGTGGCAGCTTTGCATGATAATTTTACATGCTTTGTATCCAAAACTACCTACAAAATTGATCGTGTTTTCCTGCCATTATACTGTATGTGTACAATAAATAAGATTCTGCTAATCGCTTTTCTTCTTAGTGGAGTAATGCTAACGGCCAGTAGTATATATATATATATTATTATTAGAAAAGTTTTTTCATATATCATCCGAAGGAACATAAATTTAATTAAAACGATGAATTATTGGAATAAATTTGAGTCAGTATTTTAAAGCCAAAAATTATTAGAATACAGTAATTTAAGGAGCATTTTAAGTCATCATTTAAAGTTATTTAGATTTCTATTGTTGTAAAAATTATTTAAAAGCTATATAGAAATGGTATTTTGAACCGTAAAAACTTTAAATAGTAAAAATAAAAAGTAAAATTTAAAGTACTGTAGAGGTAGCTATTGTTATTGATCATAGATTAATTGACTTGTCAAGGAGAACAAACCAATCCACTATCAAATAACAATAACCTAATTAAATGAGAGTGCTTCGTCTTTTTTCCAAGTAAGGATCAAATTAATTATTTTGCTAGAGAATATAAGCTATGAACAAAACTCTATTATTAGAAAGAAATTAGTCTGTTTAAGCCATAATATTTATCACGAACAAATTCTAAAATAAAAATGAGTAATATATTCTTCTTAAGTTAAAGTATACGTTAAGAACTAAATTAAACGAGATCCCCACTTTGGAGAAATAAGATTCGCCAACACACTCATACTATTGTAAAAACAATAAAAAAAAAACTATTGAAATCAGTACAAATTTTTAAAAATCCATTGAAATCTGTTCAAATTAATATAGTATAGAGAAGACGATATTAATAGAAATATGTGCGAATTAATACATTATATTAGATTCAAATGCTAAATTAAAAGTAAAATCAAATTTAATACATACATTATTTTATATTAAATTAAAAGTTGTGGCTTATATACTAATTAAGATACAATGCCAAAAAGGGAAATTAAAGTTAACTTTTTTTGCAAAATTTGAAACGAAGGTCGGAACTGTAAATGTACTCAGTAATGGAATGTAATAGGGTTTATATGCTGCTGGACATATATATGTATATTAATAATGAACTAAATGTGTTAGGCTTTCACATAATGACGAAATTGATCACGTGATATACTGTAGTGAAAAAAGCACAGAATTCAAATTTTTATGCTCGCTCTGCGCCCGAACATTCTAACTAATGATTTCCAGCCAAGGTATTTTATTCACTGTTTTCTTTAATGATAGTATATTAATAGATCTCATGGGTTTGACTGATATTTGATTATGTAATGGACTCCGAACTTTGGTAGAGCGATTTTTTTAACTTGATGAAATTAATGATTTTTATTGACAAATTTGTCGGAAAAAAATCTTCATACGATCATAATTATGCGAAATTTTATTAATTAAAAATTAGTGAGATCATATGGTAAGCGCACCTATGCGAATAGGTTTTAAAAATCAAATGTTTGAAAGATCCCTTTTATGACAAACAGACATGAATATGAAAATAGAGTTTTAAGCTCCATTTCTAAAAATGCTAAAAAAATTGAATATTTTATTAGATTTAATTCAGTGTCTAAAGAAGCCTATAAAAATCGACTCTTTAGCAATCAGAGAAACGAATTTAACTCAAAGCCCATCATATCTAGTACAATGCAAGATGAACATTTTCTAGAAGACATATAAAAATATGAATTTCAGATTCTAAATGCATTGAAATTTGCTTCATGACTGAAATTGTCATCTTCGAAATTCTCATCTTTCATTCTTTAAATTAGAAGCGTGAGTCTACGACAAGGATTTCAAGACATGTTTTCGCACATAAATTGAACTTTTCATTGAAATTCATATCAGTTGATCAAGAGCACTAAAATGCTAGATAATTATGATTCCTTTTTACTTCTCAAATCTCTTGTTATGTAGTGATACAATATATTACCTGTAAGTTGATAACAGTTTACAGAAGGAAATTCAACCGCACAAGGACTAGCTAATGCTTAGTGGCGTTAGCTAAATAACTCATTGGACTGGAGATTATCAGTTAAGCAGCTGGTACTACCGTTACTTTTCAGCTTTATTGCTTAAAACCATCTACCATTAAACTTAAAGTCTACCATTATACTTAAACCAAGAACATCTACCAAGTCTATCAAGAACATCTACCATTATACTTAAAGTGCTAGTGTGATTTACTGTTTCTGCAATACAGTCAGCCCCTCTATAATAAACACACAAATTATAATATTTATAGACGCCAAGTATAACGAACGAAATTTTTAGTCCCATTCAACTTCCTGCAGACTTAATGTAATTTTATACGGCTGTAGTGAGCTTCCAAATGTATAATATTCGATATCGATAAAAAAATATAATGACTTTTATGGATACCTTGGACGAAACGTTTTTTGTGTTTTTCAAAAGCAGTATTTCTTCACTTTTTAACTTAAAAATTACTAACCCTTAATTTTATACTGTTAAGGACATTAAAATAACAAAAACAAAAACCTTTACTGTACTGTTCTTTTACCTTCACCCAATCATTCTGCGTTGTTCTAAGCAAAAGGTTTATCCAAATAATATACCACTAAGATAGATAAATTTTTTTTTAAAGTTTGTAGGGACATTAAATATTTTTTGGGAGCAGGAAAGAGGAAAAATTAGCAATTAGGACAAATTCGCCGGGAATCGAACCACGGACCTCTGGAATACCGGCCCAGTGTGCAGAACCACTACACCAGGAAGGCACGCTAGGAAAGCAGGAGAAATACCTTATATACTCCCCTTTTTAATTGGCGGCTTTTTTTTTTTTTTTTTTTTTTAGGGGGAACCCAGTTGCTAAATTCTGGGTGGGAAAATCCAACACCCTTTCAGTTCGGACGCCACTGTAGAAACATTAGGGTTTTTTGGAAGCAAGAAAGATGAAAAATTAGCAACCGCCTTCGCCGGGAATCGAACAACGGACCTCTGGAATACCGGCCCAGTGTGGAGAACCACTACAACCACGAAGGCACGCTAGGAAAGCGGGAGAAATACCTTATAAGTTGCTCTACCAAAGTTTGGAGTTCGTTACATAACCAAACATCAACAAAACCGAAGACATGTATTAATATACTATCGTTAAAGAAAATAGTGATTAAAATAACTTGTCAAAAAAAAATGTTACGAAAGGTACAGGTGCGGTAAGATAGCTTCCCCGCAAAGCAGTTTTAGGGTTGTCATAAAATGGCAAGTGAAGGCAGGAGTTGCCACATTTGAAGAGAAATCGCCCATTTGGCGACAAAATTGGTGATATGCCATGGACGGATGGAGAACCTTCTGGAACGAATTCTTAACGGTTTAGCCCAGAATGTTTTCGAACACAAGCCGAAAGCTATATAAACCCGGCTAGTCCGCAGTCAGTTAGAGAGTATCTCGCATAGAGTGCGAGATAGTTAGTCTCGAGTTAAGTCAGTTCGTGCGGAGTCGATCGAGATGACAGCCGGGCAGCGAGTGCCGAGTGGGTCATCGAGTGCACCGAAGGAGTCTCTTAGTGTATCGCAGTTAGTGCATCGTCGAGAGAGCATGTTGAGCTCCGGGAACGACTGAACCGAAGAGTCGGGAGCTGTGCTCTGTGTGTCGTCGAGTGCCTCACGAGTTGTAGCGTGGAGAGTCTCGAAAGTACGTGGAGGTCCGATAACGACCGAGCAGAGTCGGGAGCTGTACTCTGGTGCTATGCAATGAAGCTCTCTCCACCGTTATTGTCTGCAGTGTGAAGGCTGTGTCGCTGATTGATCCAGCGTGTTTATAGTAGATCTTCGATGACTGTAAAAGTGTTTTGGAGCTATCCTGATTAATATTGGCTACATAAAGTGTCTTTCGATACTTCATCAAGAAGTGTTATCATTATTCACTCCAAATCTACGAACCCCGTACGGAAGTGAATTAAGAAAATAACGTAACAATATCAAACAAAGCCAAAAAAAAAAAAAAAAAAAAAAAATCCTCAGATGTCTCTGCTAAGAGTGCTCCGATCCAGAGATATTTATTAAGCATATTAAAATAAGATAGTATTCGGCTTTAATCAGAATTATTCACTAAGATCTTAGACGACATTTAAGCATCTGCTAGAAGAAACGTGTGACTTCAGGGGAAGAAAATATATTACCTGTAAGTTGATAACAGTTTACAGAAGGAAATTCAACCGCACAAGGACTAGCTAATGCTTAGTGGCGTTAGCTAAATAACTCATTGGACTGGAGATTATCAGTTAAGCAGCTGGTACTACCGTTACGACTTTTCAGCTTTATTGCTTAACTGATGGAACCATCTACCATTAAACTTAAAGTCTACCATTATACTTAAACCAAGAACATCAAAATGTTCATCAAAATGGGATAGAAAAAGAGTACTATCTTATGAATCAAGTGATGAAAGTTTTCTGAAATGGTTCATGTAATTGGGGTACAGCAGGTTTCCTAGGAGGGATGGAGCCACAGCAGGTTTCGAATATAATATGATAACAAACTTGCACTTCAAGAAATGGCTTAAAAAGTTCCAGCTGTTGTAAACGCTATAGCTTAGAGCTAATATTTGTCATGTTATTGCGTGGTGGTGATTGCAAAAGTATCTGGCATTACCATCCATAATTAGGCTTTCAGTCATATATCGCAGTCAATAACCTAATGCTTGAAACATTTAACAAAGGAGTCCAAAATAACTGCCATTTTAAATTGCATTTTAGTAAAACTTTTACTTCCTTCCACACTGAATTTTGTGATTTTAGCATTGGAGCTGTTTAAACATTCAGTTCACAATATCAAAGAGTTTGTGGAGGAAAAAACTCAATTTGACTTTGGTTACTTTTAATGAAAGTTTTAAGATAATTTAGATGCATAACTGTACTGAAAGATTTCAGTTGTCAGCAAAGCATTCTAAACATTAAAAAATGTCCTTAAATATAAAAAAAATTCAAACCATTACTATAAAGTATTATCAACTTTTGTTTATTTTTAGTGTGAAACGTTAGGTATAATGGCACCAGCATAGTAGTAAGAGATATGCAAATAACTCAGTTGATTCCAGCAATGAATATGGAAATCTTTGTTTTAGGTACATGAACTCAGGAATAGATACAGAATCAGAGGCTCCATTACATCATCGGAAGAAGCATAGGAGGTAAGCAAATAAATTATACCTTATTCGTTCCAAGCTTCTGTAAAAAGAAATAATCCAAAAATTTTGTAAAATACGTTTATCTCTTCTATATGATAAGCTGCACTGTATAAAGTTATTTATTTTCATTTATCATAGTAAACAATTCGTTTAAAGGAAAATAATAGGGTTAGTTCATTATATGAATCTCTTGTTTAAAGTGAAGTTTAATTTATTTCTCGGTAATAAATCTCTGAAAACCCTCAACTTTTCCCAGCTTTTGATAATTATAGTTCAACAATGAAATAATGGTCTAGATTTCGATTTAATATATATTAATTGATCTGCAAAAAGGCTAATCACAGATTCTGAAATGTTATTAATAGCATTAAATTTAAAAATTACATCGTAGTATTTTTTTCAGACACAGCCGATCAAGATCCCGATCGCCTGAAGTCACTCCTGCCTTATCACAGGAAATAAAGAAGCATATAGAGTGAGTACCGCTTTCAGAAAATATTACAACTTGCTTAGTTGCGTGAATGATTTTCTAAAGCTTATAACATAAAATAAGGATTAAAAAAGAAAAAAACAATTAAGTGCTCATGTACCTAATATATCCTAAAAATGTGACAACGCGTTTTAAATAACGGCTGAAAATAAGAACTAAACAGTCGAACAGTGAACTTTGCAACAGTCATACATATTAGTTCTGGATTCCTTTTGAAAGAATCTCGAAGGTCACAAAAACCTAGGAGCTTGAAGCACTGCAGACGAATAATCCATATATGAAGAATATTTTAACGATCGAGAATATCACGAGGTATAAACAAAACAGGAGTTTTAAATGAGTTTCTATGTCCGATGCCGTAATAATAATAGGGGAACAAAAAGACTCGAAGCTCGCAGACAAGTTGCTCAAAACATAGATCTTGACCTCACTTTCTCAGACTCTTAATTCCTTGACGCTTTGATGGAATACGCAGGAAGTCGAGGATGTTACTGTTGAATGTAGCCATTGTATCTTCTTTATTTATTTTTATATATCTTTCTCATTTTTGAGTATCATTACACAGTTATCTATTCTTAAATTTTGCAACCGAAATCATGTCTGGTTAACCTTGTAAGGAAGTAAAGCATTTCTCCGTGTGTAATCTCACAGTGTAAGTGGTTAGTAAGCTCAGATAGCATTGTAAAAGCCATAGTTTGAATACCTATGAGGATACATTTTTTTTTCCGTTTATTTGTTTGTTCATGTTTTCTGCTTCGAAGAATTTAACAGTCTGTATTATGTCGCTCGATCTAATAATCTGGTGGCCGATAAATCATCACCACCTGGATTTATCGACTGGGTCTTATGTCTCTTTCTAACCGCTCTTTAACTCCGGAAGAATGTAAAGAATTGCTGTATTTTCCCTGGCGTGCTCTTGTGATGTAAGTAGTTAGTATGTTGTGGCATACGTTAGTACTGTAAGATCCGTTGTTCAAATCCAGCGGGAGCTCGGTTGATTTTTCATGTTTCCTGCTTTTATGGGACAAGAGCCTAATAGCCCCTACAGCTTAGATGCTATAAGAAATTATTCTTGCTGAAATTGTTCATAATTTTAAGTGGATAATACGTTAGTTACTAAATATAACCAGATTTAAATCCCGCATTAATTATGTCTCTTGATATGGCCGCCAAACATCGGAAAAGAAATGCCTTATAAAATCAGTGCTGTAAATAATAAGTACTGTAATTTATTACATTGCGATATTCGTGTAAAGACAGAACAGCGATATTAATACTAATTAAACCATTTAACATTAATAGCTACTTCTCTAGCTTATACTATTATGTGAAGGTATTCGTAGTTTTCCGCATGCATAACCTAAATATTAGCTACTTTCTCTCATAAAGACCTTCGCATTGTCTTGAAAGATTATCTACATATTGTCTACACGGAGCTTGCCTCCATATTGTCTACCTTTCTTTCTTTCCACCGACAGCGAGGCAGCCGGTCCACTGGGTAGTTAGCATATCGGCCAGGTAGCCCCGCTGACGGAAATAACTTGAACAAAAGACACACTTATAAATACATATTGTGCTCAAGACGACTGCTGGGGCAGTGCAAACAAATGCTGGATGAAGACGATAGTGCATGATGGAAGAAGGGTGCATTGCGGGCGTGAAGAACAATTCCAGTTACATATTTACAATGTAATGGATAGGTAGTTACAAATACTAAAAGTAATAAGAAGTAAAAAACTAGAAAGTAAAACAATGCATAAATAAAAAAAGGCAAAACAGTGGAAACAATACATAAAATAAGGCAAAATACATAGTTCAAGGTTCATAATTCAAGGTTTACAGTTCAAGAAGATAAATATATACAGGGAATAAGAAAAGCCGAATAAGCTAACTTAAGATAAAATTAGTTCGCTACAGGTACAGAGCATACAGGGGCTGTGCTGGTGACGAGGATGGTGGCTGAGAATTACTCCAGCCTGTCTGAGATTATGCGTGCAATGTTTATGCAATCGCATATGCGTTTCAATGCATTGCGATTTTTTGAAGTAGCTTCGGCCCATGCATGGATGTGGTTTGCTACTGGTTGCCTAAGATGATATTTAGCGGTCTCTCTGCAAGCGAACAGAGAGTGGTCCGGATCTCCTACCATCCCGCATGAGCAATGCTCGTTTCGCGTCGTCTGAAGCGATTGAAGCGATGCAGGTAAGTCATGAAGGGACCATGTCCTGTTAGATACTAAGTGAAGTGAGACGAGCCAGATTTTAGAAGCCGGCAGACTTTTGGAAAAAATCTGTAAACTCTTCTGCCGGTGGTTTCTGTCTCCCACAGATGTTGCCAACATTTTAAGTAATTCTCTCTCGAGCTCAGCTTTTAAGAACGAAACCGGGAGAGGCACGTCAAGTGTGCGAACGTGGGGGTCAGTTGCTGCTCTTTTGGCTATTGCATCTGCAATTTCATTACCCAGTATTCCAGTGTGGGCAGGTACCCACTGGAGTTCAGGCCTATAGTATTTAGGTGTTCTTAGTAAGAGTTTTTGTATGGCCCTGACGAGTGGATTTTTTACTACATTTTGCCTTGGATTGCCTGGAGGCTAGAGGCTGAGTCTGAATATATACTGGAATAGTTATTTTCCAGTGCGTAGACAAGTGCAGCTTGTAATGCAATCAGTTCAGCCTGAAAAACTGAGATGTGGTGCTTAAGTTTTCTTTCCCAGGTCTTTAAGATCTGGTTCCCAAGTAGAACACAGTATCCGCTACCGGTGCCACATTCTCCTTTGGAACCATCGGTGTAGATTGCAGCGGCGTTGAACCACGTTGGTGACCTGCAGTTAATCGAGATATTGAATTCGGCCGGGTGGCAAGGTGGCTCGGGAATGCTTTGCTCATAGTCAGTATAAACATAAGTCCTATCCCATAAACTTATTGTCTCTTTGAGTCGGAGCACTCGCGCTGAGCTAAGAGATGCAGAGGCGGTAGTCCTGAAATCACGTTTAGAGCATTAGTGGGCGAGGTTTTATATCCTCGGGTAATGCTCAGGAGGAATGGTCTTTGTGCTGAGCGTAGCAGATTCTCCATTTTAGTAGTGATCGTTATACCCCACATGGAGGCTCCATATAGTGCAATACGTTCAGCAACTACAGAGTACCACGTCTTAAGCATCCTCGAAGAAACTCCCCATGTTGGTGCTGCTGTTCTGAGCATGGAATGAAATATCCTGTGAAGTCGTGCCTTGACCTCCTTTAAATGTGGCATCCAAGTCAATGTGTCGTCAATTATAACTCCAAGGTACCTCAAGTTTCTGACTATTTTAATATTTTCCCCATGAAGGTTGATGCACGGGGTTCTTCGATGGCGCTTACCTGGACAGATAAGCATACCTTGGGTTTTTAAGTTGGCAATAGTTAACTTATGGTCATTGGTCCATTTGGCCATCTTGTCCATTGCTTGTTGTGCCCTAGTCTCATATGCGTTGCGGCTGTGCCCTTTGGTTACCAGCAAAAAGTCATCGGCATAAGCCAGTATTTCCGTGTGAGGATCTGTGTTAAAGAGAGTCAGCGCTGTGTCCGCTACAAGATTCCAGAGCAGTGGACCCAGACAGGATCCTTGAGGACAGCCTCTATTGATGGAACGTGAGTGCACTCCTGCGTCCGTAGTGGCTTGTAAGCGGCGATCACTTAGGTAGCTGTAAATAAGGTCAAAGAGAATCTTAGGGCTACCCATGTCCTGTAATCTCTTCAGTACATCGGGCCACCACAACGAGTCGAAAGCGCCCTGTATATCCACAGAGATAATGAGACTATGTTGGTTATTTATTCTGTTATTTGCTATTAATTTTCGTAGGTGCTGCAGCGCGTGATCCACCGATCTGAATGAATGAAGCCGTATTGTTTGTCATTTATGCTTTGTCCAGACAGGATATAGTGTTTAAGTCTTTGAAGGACGACTCTTTCTAGTACTTTACCCAAGGCAGGAAGAAGGCAAATAGGACGGTAAGACGTTGGTACATTAGGGTCTTTTTTCGCTTTGAGGAAGAGCACCACCTCACCAAGTTTCGTGCCGGCTGGGAAATATCTGTTGCGCCAACACGCAGTGATGTAGGCATGCAGTAACTCCGGATGCATACTGTTAATGGCTTGCAGAATACCATTATCTATCCCATCAGGACCTGGTGCTTTATTGGTGTGTAACGCTTTAACAATGTGGCTTATTTCTTTGGCGTTAGGCAGTGGTTCAAAATCTGTTTTCTTGGTATTGTAATATTGCTCAACGCTGGCTCTGATATTTCTTTGTGCGGGATTATCTGTGTCTGCGTTATCAGGTCTAAAGATATTGTCCAGAATGTGCGCAACTACTTCTGTGCTAGTTGCTACTCCGTGGCTTATTGTGGCAGTAAGATTAGTAGGTGTAAACATCTTGTCATGTGCAATACGGAAGACAGTTCCGAACTTATTCGCAGTGTTGATACAGTACTCTTTCCAGGATGAAAACTTCGCTTTTTGCAATCTGTCTTTTGTAAGCAGCTCTGTGCTTTCGAAAAAAATTAGCGAGTGTGTCTCTCTTTCTAAGGGATCCTTGCATGCTTGCATTTTGCGCCTTAGGGCACGGACTTTGCTGCGTTCAGCAGTCAGCGTGGTGCTCCACCAAGGAGTGCATTTCGGGGCTGCGTAATGTTTCCTTTTCAAGACTTTTTCGCACACTGAGAGCAGTGTTTGCATAAGATCTTCTTGCATGGCGTCGATGTCTTTACTACTGTTGCAATTATTACATTGTGCCACGAGACTTTCAATATGGGTTGAAAGTGCATCTTTAAATTTGTTCAGGTTTATATACTTCGTTTTCCATCTGTTCTTTGTTATAAATTGGTGCTCCGAATCTATTCTGAACTCAATGTAGCGATGGTCACTGAACGAGGGAGTTTCGCTAACCTTCCAATTGTGAATATTATTAAGAATACCAGTGGTGGCTAAAGTGATATCAGGCCACCCC